ATCATTTACATTATAGTCGGCCGCCATCATATCGGTCGATATGTAGTCTCTTCCCGAAATAGTTGGTTTATTTGGTTCGACCTAGGTTTGAACCAAGGCCTTCGGGCAAACCCCGATACAAATTTAAATTTCGGCCTTTGACTAAGTATTTTAGTCAAACCTAGAAGTTTCAACTTGATGGTCAATCGTCGTAAGTAAAATAATCTAGTCGGGCTTCGCCCTAGACTCGACTGGGAGACTCGCTCGAACGTTGACTGTACTCGTAACATGTTTAAAGACGTAGTAATAGTAAGAGTAAAAGATTCAAAATTTGGGGGCCAAGGCTTTATCAAAGGTGTCATTGAAAACAAAAAATGCTTTACAAAAATATGAAAATGTAAGAGATCTAATGTATGGTGCAATTCTAAATGTCACAATGTCTCATAAAGAATTAGTCTTTATTCATACGGTTTATTTATGAAATATTATTAAAAGATTAAACTAATAAAGAAAAAAAATCGTTTTATTACACCTAAAATTGAGTCTACAAAGTAAAGTAAGTAAAGTAAACCCCGATTTCGAATCCCGATTCCGGTTCTCCTACATTCGAAAAACGATAATTATTTTGTCAGAAGCTGAAAAACTTCATTTGTTTCTATTTTAACTAATGTCATTAGTTAAAGGCGAGCTTAATTAAGTTTTATTATTAATAACTAGGTATTAATTATCTTTTTTTTTTTAATTTTTCTGCTCGCAGATTTTGCTAGAAAAAAATGCGTTAGCGTAGTAACAGGAAAGCCTGTCAGGAAGGCTTCGTTTTATACTAAACGTTCATCTTAAATCTGTGACGGTTGTTGAAAACTATATTAAAATCCGTTGCAAAGTTAAACAGGTCTATATAGACGGAGGAAGGGTTGTCTGTGTAAATATATTGTTAATATTATATATGTCAAGGAATGCTCGGATTATCAGGAAATGTTCTGATCGAATCAATTGACCGTTGATTTTGATTATTGATTTGATTAATAATTGAGATCCTTCTATTTATTTTAAGAATCATAATTTATTTTGATTAGCTTTGTTTTGTTATTAATTAATTGTTTCATAATTTAATACTTATTGTTACGACCAATCAGAACCGAGCAAATGCCTGTGGGGTCGAGGCGCCATCTTGACTTTGGACAGTGCGTTCAGGGAACGCAGGGTAGTTCTGGTTGAGATTTCAGTGGAACATTATGGTGATGAGACGTTGGACCGAGTTGGGTCTATGTGGTTGAGTAGATTGTGATTAAAAGTGAGATCGGTGCCTTGAACGCGCTGCTCGTTATAATTTATGCTAAAAGTAATATTAAAAAGCATCAATCCAAATTAAATACGGTACGATAATTATTCGTGTCTTTTGTGCTTGAACTTTACCCACATGACGCCCACTATACCAGCTAATGAAGATGCCCATATCGATGGACTATATATTTCTCCGACATAATATATAAAGATAACCAGTACCATTTCAATCCATTGTGTAATTGTGTGTTAAATATTTAAGCAGACATTGACATCGACATTGCATACATAATATGAATCATAAGACTGTTGTTGCTATAAAAATTAGCGTAGTTCTAATTATTGAGCAAGAGGAAATCCCCTGTTTGTGTTTAAGACACAATAATACTGAATATTTCCTATTGAAAAATACCTAACATCCATTGGAACAACTTTTTATATAGGATCTAGGCCTCGCGTTTAACCTAATTCATACAATTTTATTGCAATCGTGGATTTTTGAGTCTAATTTTGTACATATTAAAAACTAAAATTCACGACGTTTGATAGATCGTACAACGGGAGGCTTGAAAATCGCCCATAAATGTTCTATATTGATAAGATTATTTGTTATTCTTTTCTCGTGTATTAATAGCTAAAAACGTTACGTTTATGTAGGTACTGTTGTGTTAGATAGGTAATTGAATTGAATTTTGAATTGTGATTCGTTGGGTAGCAATAATATTCCATCCAATTTACATTAATTATTTATATTTTGGTCAAAGATCCAAAACGATGTTAAATTTGTAAGTTAAAACACAGATTAAGTAGTAGGGGTAAATGTCATTCACGGTTTTACAAATTTTGTTTACCAGAGATAGTAGACTACGAAACTGTTTAAAATTAAAACATTTAATTCAAGTTTAAAACTATGTAGTTTTTACCTATAATACTAATCCCTACTAGCTGATTAGTAATAATAGTAAATATCCTAGACTAAGTAAAGCAATAAAAGTTTTTTTTTTTTAATTTTATGTTTCCATTTACTTTTATAACAAATAGAGCCTTGAATGTAATCACATTTAAATCATATCAAAACAGTTCTGCAAAAAAGTATTTTATAGAATAATTAATTATAAATATATGATCATGATATTACAATTTAACCAGTAGTCCGATAGATTTTGTGCTATCAATTTTTTTTGTAGTAAATAAAAATTAAAACGCTTTATTTTTGAGCTCTCGGGGATGGTATTGTATATTTTCAATGTAAGTATTCCATACTATAATGCTAATACGCTAAAATTAGATCCGTATGTATGTATCTTTGTAAAGAATAAATTAAAAAATTTCTGGACCGATTCAAAAACTCAGATCTCAGATCTAGACTTGCAACGAATATTCGGTTACTATTCGGTATTCGGCCTATTCGGCTGCTTTTATTATATTCGGCCGAATACCGAATATCTACATATTATTCGTCCGAATACCGAATACTTAAATAATATATTTTGTCATAGAGAAATAATTGGTAAAATGAAAAATTTAAATCGATTGATTACGTATTTTGATATATTCATATTTTCATTTCTGTTATAATCATTTAAGTAGTCATTGTAAGTACATAACACAGGTAGATAATCATCTTCTGAATTGGAAAAATGGAGGATTCTATGTATTTGAATTATTGTGGTAATCAAAATTTAGAAGGGTAAGGTTCTCATTTCTTTTATAATCATTTATTAAGTAGTCATTGGTATATAAAACAGGTACATAATTTAATCATTTTCTGTATTAAACAAGTTAAGAATTGTTCTATGCATTTGAATTATTTTCATAATCAAAATTTAGAAGCGGAAGGTTATGGTGCAGAAAGACTAACTTTTCTGCATTTTTACAAGTACAAGTTTTTGGCACTAAAATCCAGCCGAATACTTTTGCCTAATATTCGGCTATTCGGTCAGAAGTCTCGCCGAATAATCGGTATTCGGTATACTGCCGAATATACTATTCGTTGCAAGTCTACAGTATTATCTATATATATATATATATATATATATATATATATATATATATATATAAATGTCTTAGCGAAGCTGGACAGAAATTCTGTATAAAATTCTAATGTTGTTTTCGTAAGTCTACGAAACTTTAAAATTAAAACATTTCAAAGCATATAAAGAGCATTAAATGTTATTTAAATGAATTTAAGTGCAACGTCGGCAATATCAACAGGTTTCGCTTTATATTCGTTTTACTTTTACGTGTTATTCAAGTTTACAAGCACTCGGCGTTAAAATTAAAATGCGAACGAAAGAATATTTTTAAACGCTTACACATTTTTAATCCGACACTGACACAAATTGGTATTTTAATGAAAATATTATTATGAGATATTATATATTATGAAACCTGTTCTATTTCTAAACTGTATTGCCTATCTATATAATAATATATATATGTATACTTTGACCCACATAACGTCAGCCCTATTTAACGCTTAAGTCAAAGAGAAAAATCTTGTCTTTGATAATTATCTGTCTAATAAAAATGATTTAACTGAAGTGGGCTCAGAATGGTGAAAAATGTTTCAATGAAACACAGAAAAACACATAATATTTCAACTTATCACTAAACTTTTATATTATCACAAGAATAGTCTTCATAGCTTGGTATTAATGCACATGTCACAGCTGATTACTATAGTGTCAAGAATACTCAATAGTAATTAATATAAAAAACCGCACAACTATTGAATAAATTCTAGTTTAAATAATTCCGGCACTGAACAAAACTCTATTAAAATTATTAACAAATTTAACGTTACAAATGTAATCCAAGTTTATTAATATAAGAAATAAAGTAAAGGAAAATATTTATGTTTTAAGGGGAAAAGGGGGAGGTGGAACGTAGCCCCGACCATAGTACGCGGTATCGTATACCCCGCGTCCCAATAAACCATATCGTCCCAATTTGTAGCCAGTCAAAGTTGCTAACTTTAAAGTAGCGTTAGTTGACTGAAACAAAAAAATAAAGATTAGGTGCTAGATTTGCTTACTAAAAGAAATTTATATATATTCTCCGGATAATTCTGGCTCGGCGGCTACTGTGAATGGCCACGGTGAAGGAAAACTTCGTGAGAAAACGAACATGATTAAGACACAAGAAGTCGATGGCGTGTGTCACAAAAAAAAATTCACTTACGAATCACGAAACAGATACAGAAATCTGAGGCCCAGACCAAACCTAGTTGGGCCACGGGATTTTTAATGTATTTACTAAAATGTTAATTAAAACGACTTATTTCTGAAAAAAACAGTAAATTAAAAATCTTACCTGTAGTAGAAAAAGGATTGTGAAAAGAAAAACGCACGTTACAAGTTTCATCTTCATCTTTCTCTAAAGTTTGTGCTTAAAATAATTTGAACTAACGTTTATATAGGATTGATAATTACTATAAGTAATAATATCATATAGGCGTTTTTGCAAATAATACAATTAATGTTTAATAATGAAAGGTAAAAACCAAACTTTGAATTATTATATTAGCAAATCCGATATAAATGGTGTGTTCGGATGCATATAGAAGATTACTTATAATAAGGCTTTATATTACTTACAATAAAATATAAAAAAAGTAATGATGTAAAATCCAATAAAGATTAATCCAATTTTTTTTTCTATAAGTAAATTCTTTGTTTGGGACACATGGTAAAAAAAGAAAGAAATTAACAAAGAAGGTAACAGACTCGTACTCTATGGATGGAAAGAGATGTCGGGGTAGAATGGTACACGGACAAATCAACATGGCGTCATTTGGAGGAGACAAGGTGAATTTCCTAGAATATGTACACCTTCAGTATATAGTATAAAAGTATACAGTTTCCATCTGTATACTTTTATAACAAATATAGCCTTGAATGTAATCTGAACATTTGAACCATATCAAAACAGTTCCACAAAAACAGTTTATGGCATAATTATTCCAAAATATAAGATAAGATTTTTTTTGCAGCAATATATATACTTTAAATATTGAAATAATATTACTTCTCAACCAGTAGTCCGATAGATTTTGTGTTATCAATATTGTAGAAGTAAACGAAAATGAAAATTTTTTATATTTGTGTTCTTATGGTGTCTCTATGTCTTTTTAATGTAAGTTTTCTAGTCTATGGTACTGTTACAAAGAGATATTTGTATATTTGTAACGAATAATGTCAGCGAGGGACCGGTTTAAAAAATCTTTCACCATTAGAATGCTAATCCTTCAGTAACATAGGCTATTTTTATTTTAAATAAATGACCTGCCTTGCGATTCTGTAACTCACTTTTCGATTTTCACAGTGGCGGTCGCGCTCAAATCAGTAGTGAAGCAGTCATTTTACGATTTGGCATTCTGATATGGAGGGACCTTGTAGTTTATTGTTTATCAGAATGCCATGCAGACTGATTTGAGCCGACCGCCGCTGTGAGAGTTCGAAAAGTGAGTTACAGAATCGCAAGGCAGTTGAGCGAAGCCGGACAGAACTTCTGTTGTTAAGTATATAAAAATTTCTCATTTTAATTCAAATTAGAGATTTTTTTTAAATATATAAAAACTACTACATTTGTCTATAGTAGCAGTTTCAGTATGACTCATGACCGCATAAATTGTATGAGAACATACAATTATGCATGTTAAGAGGAATTATTCAGACTGGAAATTATTCCATATGCATTAGCGGATACTGTCTCAAAACATAATAATGGATATCCCCAGTCCTTAAAATACATTGTACATTTGTGATTTTCCTTTTGGTTTCTATTTCAGTAGGTTTGTAATTTGGCATATATAATCAACATAGCTCTTTTTCTTGCATTTTATTTACGCCAATAAAATCAACATGTTCTCTTTTTTTATTAATGTGTCCTTTTTTTATTTTCACTCTTTTTATATGTTTTTTGTATAATTAATTTATTATATTATGTCTTATGTAGTTTTGCACTTCTTGCGCTCAACTTATCAATTTTTTGACAGTGTTTGCCTGGAAGCGATAAGTCCACCAGTTGCCTTCCTTTTTATTAAATTATTTTCGTATACTTGCAACGAAGTGGTAATAAATAAATCAATAAATAAGACACAAAATATTTTGATAATAAATTATACTTAACTTATTCTCAACTTTTTAAAATTTATGATTCAAAATGGGACCCAGATGATAAATCTTTTATTAATACATTTTCGTTTTCAGGTCACCAATGGCTCCCTTCTCTTAGCAGCTCATAATGGATTCAAATTGGGTCGCATGGGATTATTTTCGAGAGGCTTGTATGACCGAGCTGATCGCACGAAAGGATATTATCCACCACCATCAAACACGTTCCCTTTAATTTCTAACGATCATAAACTATTAGGTAACAAATAATAACTAATATGTTCTTTCCTGCATGCTGCAAATTATCAATACCTGTAATACCTGTTTCGGGGCCAACGAGCTTCATATTTTTATTAGGTAATTAAGGTATTTTAATAGGGATTGAATGCAAGCTAAGGAAGGAAATAGTCGAGTGCTTGTACTGTATAATTTCCAATTAAGACCGCCGATTTTGATTTCGTTATCTCCAATATCTTAGGATTGCGTGGTACAAAATTCAATGTCTGCTCAGTTACTTGTGTATATTTTTTGTGTATATTACGTTCAGCCACTATTGTTCTACTAAATCTAGTCTATCACTAATACATGTACGAGCACTTTCTTTTTATAATTATTTTTGTAAAATGCGGAATTCTAATAAAAGTGTAACGTAAATGTTGTATTTATTTCCTAGCTGAATCTGTACTGTCTAAAGGTCTATGTCTCTTAACACATGAATGCTAAACATACATGCAAACACGATAAATTATCGCAAATTCGACTTTAAGTCGTAGTTGTAAACCCAGGATTTCATTTAGATGGGTTTTACGCTAGTGTTATATATAATGGTTGTCCTCACTTTTTGCCATTATGTCCTTAAAAGTAGACCAAGTTAGTGTTTGAAATATTTTATTTTATATTAAAAATGAGATCCCTCAGTTTCTTTCTATTGGTTTTAACAGTTGTTCTTTTGTTTGAGGTAAGTTTTTTCTTTTATAAAGTGTAGGCGAAGGGTTCGCTTTAGTTAAAAAAACTTTATTTTAAATACTAAAATTTTATTTTTAAATATTCCGAGAATGTTCTAATAAATAAATAAATGTTTCGAATAAGTAATAAATGTCGATATTCATTTTAGACAAAAGCTTGTTCTGAAGAATTTAATGACATTAAAATATTTTACTGGGTATATACTTTAATAGAAGGTTTTAGTAAATTACGTTATATTTTAATAAGCAATAGCTAATTCACAATGCCTAGACAATGTCAAAATAATTAACAAACCCCAAAAAAACATTATATACAAATACACCTTATATGATTATTTATTTCGAATTTATGTTATATTAGCGAACATAGATAATAACTTCTTTAGTTGGAGAGGTTTAAAATTCGTGAAATATTTTAGACGTGATAATTGAGGCTTCCAACGAATATTATACTTTTGATTTTTAGCGAATAATTTTCAGTAGGTATATGAACTTAAATGTCATAATTATTCGCTTATAAACCTATGATTTATCAATTTTTGTCATTAAATTCAAAAGAAATTTTATATTCATAATGTTTGCTATATCTACAAGAAATAATTAACCAATTATTGAAAACAAATAATTCCCAGAACTATAGTAGCTAATAGCTGGTACTTTGGTATTAAAACCCAAAGATGTAGACTTAAACATTACGAACTGTTTTAAACGCTATTTCAATGGTTTTTTGTAGTATTTACTATTTCACATCAAAAATACAAAGCAAGCCAAACCCAACTTATTCCAATTCCTTTTATAACCCAATAAAAATAATAAACATAGAAGTTACTAGAGGAGGCTTTTACCCTACATGGGGTTCCAATAACATAGTTTTAGATAATAATGTTATTCAAGGTTGTTGAAAATAAATGGACTTTATTATTATTATTCTTAACTCTCATTTATACTCAACTTTATAATACATCTTATAATTTGAACTAACGTGTTTTATAGTAAAAAAATGTTCTTGATTTATTTTTATTTATAATACTAGCAGACCCGACCGACGTTGTCCACCACTCGTCTCAGATAAAAAAAAAATCTAACTCAAAAAAAATCACCTAGTTGTTAATCTAAACTATTCTCGAATCCACTTGATACACACACAAAATATATGAAAATCGAGCCATTTACAAACCAAGCACGGAAGACATATATGTATAGATTAAAGTGTGTTTTATATTTTTGTTTACACATGTATTTCGTTGTTGGCTTTCATGTATTGTGTGCTTGTGTATTAATATATTGGAAAATAAATAATTACTCATTCGCTGCGTAAGTTGATTTTAATATTATGCTTTTTTTCAGTCATTCAGCGCTCATTGGATAGGTGGTTATGGCCGCCCCGGCCGTTTTGGATTCGGTCGAGGATTCTATGGAAGGGGATTTTATGGACGGGGTTTCTATGGTAGCCCGTTTTTGGGACCCCCAATACGACCACCATTCTTCTACCCACCCCCCCTTATATATCCACCACCACCTTTTTACGGTTAACAAATGGGTTTAAAATATTTTTTATCTAGTTGAACAGATTAATAATAATAAATCGACGACATGCTACATTTCTCGACAGCTGCTTAGGGTCCTTCAAGAAAAGAGCGTACCAATTTACGGCCGGCAACGCACTTCCGAGCCTTCTGGCAATGTTAGTGACCATGGGCGGCGGTATCACTTAACATCTGGTGAGCCCGTTTGCCCCTGTTACATAAAAATAAATTCAAATGACTTATAAAATTTTACAAATTAAATAAAATGCTATTTTAAAATTGTAATAAGATATAAATATCACCTGGCCCTACTGCGTAGTACGCTTACTTTTAGACGTGAAAACACTTTAAAACGAATTTTCATACACAGTAAAAGTATGAAAACCACTAAGGTATGGGTATTTATATCAGAATTTCGTGATCTAATTTTAGGAAAACAAAAGTGTATTGCATTCCTTATTCTTGTTAAATTAATAAAATGTTATAAATAGGATTTTGTTTTAGTTTCTTAAGATATTTAGCATATATTGTTGTGACTCAATTCTAATACGCTACTTGAAAGTATTTATTCCGACTAAATATCAGCTCACAGCTTGATAGGAAAAGGAACAAATCAAAATTAACAATATATTTATCCCGAAATTTTTGTTAATTTCCGGCTAGATTCACCTTAACAGGTTCAACTCGAAAGTTTAATAGAAAGTGCGCAATAAAACCGATTTCATCCGATAGAAACATTTCTAGGTAGACAATGTTTTTTAATTAAAACACAATTGCTGACATAATGTATTTAATAACACATATTACAAGTTACATAGGACTTACATCTAAAACTAGTTCAACGGCAGACATATATCTGTGTCCGGAGTTAGGCCTCAACAGTAATAGCGATCTGAGAAGATATTTCATATCTTTAACAGTGGAGATTTGGCAGAAAAATAGATTATTTAAAACCATCCGAAAATACACAATCACAGTTACTAGGCAATTAAACCTTAATTTTCAATGAGGTTTTAAAATATTGAAAAACTATATCTAATTACTTACTATGTAATGATTATATGATATGTTTAGTTATCTAGGCACCTAGACAAACATTACTGTTAATCCATACGATAAACTTTAGGCAATTCATAAATTGTCAGTAATGTAATCAGTAAAACTCTTACTTGCCACGCGGGCTTTACTAAAAAAGCGAAATTTACACCGACTTACATTAGAGAAATCTTAAAATTATGATATGTTTACATCAATTATTAATAAATCCCTCAGCCAGTTGGATATGTATGTTAATTTGAATACTTATAACTATAATTAAATTTATTAAAGACACATAGACACTATTTAAACATTCATAAGATAATAGTCAAAATATTTTATCCTAAAATCTAATTTGCGAATAAAGAAAACTACGTTGCTTCGTCGTAACGAAATAAAAGTGTTCGGTTAACCGTTGTCAAAGCCATATTCCGACTTTTAAATCATCGTATTTTAATATTATTCATTGATAATTTAAGTAATGAATAATATCAAAAGAACTAAGAAAATGAAATAGGTTTTATTACATTTCATCTTGCCTATTACATTTTCCATATTACAACCATGTATGAATAAAAATATTCAAAAATGGAACAAAATGACAGAAGAACAATAAACACTTTTATTCATAAATGATTTTAACAGAATGAACAATTTAAATGAAAAAGGAATTTTATGAATTGTTCACTCTTCATTTGAATTTGGAATTAATGCATCCGGTACACCCCGATACGTTTTTCGCCAGCGGTATGTTGGACGACCTCGCGAATTTGGTCAGTCGCTACGGGTCCTATGCAGACTAAAGCCTCCTTGAAGTATCCACAGCTCTAAAAGAAAAAATATATAGAGACTACTTCAAAATTTATTCTATGTTACAGAACAACACAATAATATTTGAACAATTAAAAATATTCCCGAGTTACTTTATATTTTTTGTACAAACTAATAATATATCGACGTAGGAAGCACTTTGCTGTAAGTAGACATATTGCAATTGTTCACCAGAGCCAAAAACTTTATTAATTTCGGAAAAAATTAAAGTGTCTGACCTACCATTTTTGAAACAATATTTATTAACTGCCAGTCACCATTTGCAATGTAAACTTTTTATCAAAGTTACTATAAGTACGGTTTGGCTAGTTACAGCAAACAGTTTTTTAAATCACAAACCTTTAAAACCTGTAACTAAGGAAGAAAAATGTACTCGAAAATATCAATTAAGGGTAAAATCAGGAAATTTATGATTTGGGTACTTTAATTGCAATTAAAAAAGTAAATTATGATTAGACAGAAAGAGGGATGGAATGTAGTTGATTGAAAAAAATCGAGGAAAAAACCACGAGGCTAAATTTGCTGTAAGTAAACGAATGTAAAAATCACACGCCGCTGAAATGCTGTAAGTAGCGTTAAGTTTTTAAATGGGAAGAAGTAAGTATTTGTAAAGAAAAAATGCAGATTTTCTTTTGCTGTAAGTGCAAAATGTCTGAAATGACTAGATTTTGGTCTACATACAGCATTTAATCTTGCTAAAAATAATATAAGTACGGGCGTTTTCAACGGCGTATGTAATTTTTTTTTCATCGTAGAGACACAGGACCCAGGTCATTATGGGCTTTTTTCTGATTCTAATGGCAGGAAAAAGTATTTAGGTATTTTGTCTACTCAGCAAATATGCTTTCTAGGATAGAAAATCATATTAGCAGCGTGACATAAAATATAACTAATTTAATATCTATCTATTAGAGTAACTTGTTAATTTAACAAGACAAAGGTATAACAATCCCTTTGATAGAAGATTAATTTCGTCTCAAAGAAATATTTATAATTAACAACCAGATTTTCTTCTGGAAAACATCCTTTGAAAATTCTCGAATATTTAATAAGAAAAGATAGTGAGTATTAAATATTTATTTTTGCTTCGTGTTCTTGTACCCTTATAGAGTCTGTGCGAAAAGGAAACAGGCGTGGTAATTGTCATTACGTCATTATAGTTCGACATGATAATCTTTATAGAATTATATTAGTTCGCAAAACCGCTCTTTCAAAAACTCCACTTAAATAATATGTAAAGGTAAGGCCTAGAGCAGTGTTGGCCTAGTGGCTTCAAAGTGCGAATCTCATCCCTGAGGACCTAGGTTCGATTCCCGGCTGTGCCTACCAATGGAATTTCTTTCAATGTGCACATTTTTGCCTTAGACATAAAAAGACGACGGCGTGTGTCAAGTACAGAGGGCTGATCACCTACTTGGCTATTAGATTGACAAATGATCATGAAACATATACATAAATCTGAGGTTCAGACGTAAAAAGGTCAGCGCCACTGATTTATTTATATTTAAAAGGTAACGCCTATTATAGTAAAAGGGCAACAGCGCAAAATATCGCAAAAAACTCTATGTACCGAAAAGAATTTCTCCTGACATAGAAATGCATAAAGCAAATACAATCTCTCATAAACAATTTCAAGTGGAGCGCCCATATGGAAATGAAACTTATCTAAACAAAATTAGTAATCTATCTTAAATATCGTAAATCTGCCAACAATAAAATATCCATAGAGTTACTAGCTGCCCCCGCGAACTTCGTTTCTCTACCTTTTTCTCTATATAAAGCTCAGAGTTCAAGTCATAAGGTTTTAATTAACAAATAAAAAATAAGGGTTGGTGATAGAGGGGTGAAAATTTAGGGTTGTATGTATTTTTAATGGCACATTATAAAAAAAAAAAAAAATCGTCCAAAAAATAAAAATGTTAGGGGTGGACAACCCTTATCACTTAGGGGTATGAAAAATAGATAGTAGCTGATTCTCAGACCTACTGAATATGCATATAAATTTGATAAAAATCGGTCAAGCCGTTTCAGAGGAGTATGGTAACTAACATTGTGACACGAGAATTTTATATATAAGATAAGAAAGATTAAACTCAATATTTAACAGGAAATACGATTAAGATTAATTTCATAGAGTAGGATTTATCGAAGGAAAATCAAGATCGGAAACAAAGTCGGAAGCTACTTGTAGAGGATCTTACCTTGCGTGGTTTCTGTCGGTGACGACGTTGCATGACGCAGCAAAGACCTCGGCCAATGTCACATTCGCTTGAGGTTGAGCAGTCTTCATTGTATTGCTTACGGCCGGCGGATGGGAGACGACATACATGCATTTCTCCTATGAAAATCGAATGCAAAATTTTTGTTTCACCGGTTTGGAAATTGATTTCTATGCAGAGAAATCAGAAGGCAAGTATGGCAGTCTACATAATGATAATAATACATATAGCTTTATTTTGTTCCATAAAAATACATTTCGTATTTATATTTATATGGACCCAAGGGTAAAAGCCTACACCAAGGCTTTCCACAATTTTCTTTGACGGTCTCCATCCATATTTTCCCTGTCGTAATCAATACATAATCTATTTAAATATTAACAATTATACATGTTCAATTAATGAAACGACTTAAATTCTTAATTATTTTACAACATCTTCAAAATCTACCTTCGCAGTTGACTCACACTGCACACATAAATAAATTTAAGATGGTAGCAAAATTGTATTGTCACTATGTGGGTGACACAATGTTTAAGTGATGATTTCTAACACATACGTCATTGTCACCAAAACTGCCATTCATTATCAATAACAACATAATCTTCAATTTCTTATCTTGATACTAACAAAATCTTTATAATTTAAAGTCATCGTAAGTCAAAAGTTCTCCATCAATGCAATTCTGTAACTCACTTTTCGAACTCTCACAGCGGTTTTCGCAGCGGCGCGGCGGTCGCGCTCAAAATAGTCGTGAAGCAGTCATTTTACGATTTAGCATTTATGATAAACAATAAACTACAAGCTCCCTCCTATTGGGAAGACGTAATGTGAAATTGCTTAACAGAATACCATGAGATTCCAAAAATGACGTGAGTGACGAAGGGAGGGTTGTTAGTGTGAGGTGAACTTACGGATTAACAGAATCGCACGGCAGTTCGGTTAAATCTTTGAAATGAACACCAACCTGGCACAACTTCTTCACACACCAGTCCAGCGTCACATTGATTCTCCCTGTTGCAAATTTCACCCAGTTTGCGCCCAGCGAATGCTGGCAAGCATCGTCCACCGTCCTCTGTTGGCAATAAAATATCCAGATATAAAAATCCTCCCATCTATCACACAGCTTTGAATTAATTACTGCATTTATATTTTAAAGTTTTGAGTCAAAACGAAAATGTCAATGTGGACCATGGTCCCAAAGTTTTAGTTCAGACATCGTTCCCAGTTCATATAATACTAAAATTAAAACAAATTTGATGTTTAAAAATAATCAGTTGAAAGCATCAGTCGGCAAACTGTACTGTATTTTAATAGAGCTGTATTTTACATCAAATATACAATGTAAACACTGAAACACCCCCAAGCGAAAACATCGTAGCACAGTTGTCTGGAAAATTAATTTCCTAAAACGTTTACCTCGTAATTGCTCACAGCATTTACTTGATTAAAATATGTTCGGCGTAATTAGAGGAAAAATATTACTTTATTAACATTGTCCCTACGCTTTTACTTCTATTACTTTACTGAATGTTTTGTTTAACAAAAGGAAGCGTCATTTCATATTTCCTTCAACATTATTTTACAAGCAAAAGGTCAGCCTTCAGTGCCTGACTCTCGTCGTAGATTTTAAGGTTTCATGCCAGTTTCCTCACAATGTTAGTCACGTAAGAAGATGCCCGTAGGAAGATGATGATGCACTGGCTCAAACATTGGCCTCAGAGTTAAAAGTCGCCGAAATAAGTAGCCTTCTAACGCAGCCTTCAATGTTTGTTTTATTAAGACTCATTTGTTTCACATTTCATACATTGATGACGAGTATAAAATACTAGCTGACTCGTGCCCACTTCTTTTGTGGCTTAAATACAAAAGTTAGATTTTCGATATAGGCTGCGCTAATTTGTAGGCATTATAAAACTACAAGTTTTCTCTAGAAAACAATCATCCCTCATCGACATCGACAGCGTTTGTATAAAATGTTTTCGTTCGACAATTTTTTCTCCAACTTACTTTGCTAATCCGAATTCGAAACTCAACTTTTTTATTTTCAATTATAGCATTTAACTCACAAATAACGTAACTATCTATAGGTCAAAGAATGTTTATTATTGATTCAGTACATACATAAATTACCTACCAAAAATAAATTGATTTATTATTAAACTATACCTCAATATAGTAGTATAGATAATAGCGGTGATTTTATCTATCTTTAATATAGTAATGCATTTATTAAATCAAAAAACATCACCACTATTAAAATTGATCTACGAATGCCTGTCATGAAATAAAAAGCCATACAAATTCAAAATGTTAGCCTCAAAGAGAATTTCCAGAAGTTAATTACGAATCGAAATGAATTTCGGTACAGGCAATTGAAACTTTTTCAATTACAAACTTAAGATGAAATATACTGTTATTAAATAATAATCATAAAATACTTTTATGGGTTTAAGCGAGTGAATTTGTAAAACCTTTTTTTTAAATTATATTATGTAATCTTGTCTAATAGGCAAGTAGGTGATCAACCTTCTGTGCCTGACACACATCGACATTTTGGCCGGTTTCCACACGATGATTTTCTTTATAGTTCGAATGATAAATGTGTACAGCCGGGGATCAAACCTATGACCTGAGGGATGAGAGTCGCACGCTGAAACCAGTAGACCAACACTATTTTCAAATTAGATACTTTTATTATTACTATATATCTAGGAAAAAAATAACATTTTTTTGATTAACCCACATAAATTTAAATAAAAAATTCAATCACTTTAATCAAATGAGCCTAACTCGGCTTTAGGTTGCTGTCACCGGCAACTCTGAGTTTCAGTGGACCCGTATTATCTTGGAGTGAGATCTATACACACTGAACAAAACAAAAACGTTAACCATTCAAATAAAAAATAAAATTATTTAAAAAATCAAATTACACACAAAAACAGAACATAAAACATGAGAATGTTTTGCAATGCACCTAAATTCCCAACTCTCCCGACTGACATTCCAAGACATTCTGGAGATAACTTCCATTTTATCTTGAAAGTATTAATGCCTTGGATGTCGCGCATTGGAGGTTCAGGTTGACAGGTTGTGTCAGCAGTTAGTTGCATTGTATCGAAAAGTTTATTTGCACACATTCTATTTATGACGGGTGCTCTACGAAAAGCATTGTAATGTGTTGATCTCCTTCGACTTACAGAAAGATAATGTGACTGACTTAGAATGGAAGGGGAATAGCTTAATCCTTATAATTTCATTTTATAATATTTTTTCTTATAACATCCAGAAATTACAGCAAATCAACTCAATTACTTAGAAAAGCTCAAAGTGCCGACAAAAGAACTGTCGAGTGCGTTCAAAGCTCTCGCGAGGTGAAGAGCTTTTAGCATAAAAAAGCCCCACTGGGAGCTTTACACCGCGTCGTGTGATACGTTGACGAAATAATAGGCTCTTATTTAGGAGAGTAGTCTTATTAAAGTGAGTTGATTTTTACTATATTTATGTTATTTCAGAAAAACGTGGGTTTTGTGTGCAAGTTTGATGTAGTTCTCTCAATATCCGTAGCGGAAGAAGGTTGCGACATCACCTTCGGGATCGTGCCGTACAATAACTCATTATTGAGATCGGGATTGCTATCGGAAACTACAGAGTAAGGGTTCAGGTCGTTATTCCGTCTAAGGTATTGAATATACCAAAGTACCAGCAGGAATCTTAATAAGTGTAAATGACGGAAGATGGAGCGAACGCGTACTTCACTGGTATCCCAGAGACGGCCGAAGGAACAGAGGTCATCCCGTTATGAGATGGAGAGATGAGATACATGACATGGCCGGCAACACCTGGACAAGGGACGCCCAGAACCGACACAGATGGCAAAATATGGAGGAGGCCTTTACCCATAACCGGGTACCCAACTAAAGAAACAATTATTTATTTAATATACTATTAAATATAATACGAACAATAAATTAAGAAAACTAAATACTAACACAGCTAAAGTAATGTTATTTAAGGTTGGCAAAAGGCTTTTGAATTTGAACCAGCAGGAATCTATATTCTGCGTTCAGGAAATTTTCCAAACTTAAAGTGCTTCAGAATTTTTTTAAGCGTTCTTTATGTAAAAATTAGAAAGTTACGATGTTTCGCGTGCATTGTAAGGCATCCATGTTTGCTAATCACGCGAAAGAAATTAAACTGTCCAGTTAAATTACTGAAATTTATTAATTTAGTAAATTTTCATTATAAATTGGATTTTCCGACGTAGTCCGACTTAATAACACCACTTTGTATAATCGAATAAGCTCGGATAAAGCGTGTTTAACCCCTACCATGACCTTAGACTATGACGTCAATGGATCGACCCTGTATGCATAATAGAACTTTTAGGCGTATACTCGATATCTTGAAATTTCTCAACCGAAATGCATAAACAAATAATACTACTGATGTGTAAAAGTGTTAAAGCAAGTTTATTATCAAGTCGAACCACTCAGGCAAATATGTTGAGTTTTGAAAAGTATGGAGGTTGAAATTTTTTTAAAGTGAAATGTCTTTAGGCGAATGAAATTAAAATTTTTACGGAACGTCACGAAGATATGCAGCGTATTTGTTGAAGAAAAGGTAGAGAGCGATTGAGAGAGAGAGTGAGAAGGTTGAATTAGCGTATAGAAATTATTATATTAGTATTTTATATTTTTTTAAATAATTTATTATGCAAAATAATTTATTGAAATCTCAAATGTCGAATTGTAAATGCGTTTTTATTATCGAAGAATAAATTAAAAAAATATATATTTTTTGTATAAATTTTCGATACTTTTAATATTTGGCAATTAAATTCATTAAATTCCTAACATATCTTCCTTTTTCCCTCCCTCTAAATTTCGGAAATCTAAAGTTTAAGATTTCTATAAATATGAACAAGAGTTAAAAATTAGTTAGCCGAAGAATTTTCACTTATGACATGTGTACTTTGTACGCACGCAATTTTTTTAAATGTAGATGAGTTTTAAGATATAGAATTTCAATGTAGGCAATGCGCTGAACTTTAGATGCCTAAGTTTACCTAAACTCCTTACCAAATTTACCAAATTAGTTTTACATAGCAATGTTGCACGACTCTACACTCTGAGGTAATCAATGGACATTTGTAAGTTTTTTCGGTATAGCACATTACGAGTAACACTTGTTGCTCCGAAAGATACAACGTGAGGAAACCAGCACGTTTTAGACCCAATCGACGGCGGGCTTCAGGCACAGAAGTTCAATCACCAGTTACATTTCAAGAATAAAGATTAAGAATCAGAATATAATAATCTGAGACCTGCTAACTTACCTGTCTCTAGGCACATGAGGCCTCTGCAGCAGTCTCCATTAGTGATGCATGGAGAGCTGTAGCAGTGGGTGTCTTCAGCGTCTTCTATACGATTCCCTTCTAGAGCCTCCGCGTATATATCTTCTGGTTCAACCTGTTAAAGAGATAATTCATGAGCTATAGGATTGTCTAATAAGGTAAAAGTTTTAAAAATCGACAGACTTTTAGATGTGTGTGTGTGTGTGTGGCTTGTGTCATTATTATTTTTAGGCTCTCATGAATTGTAATAATAATATAATGTGTGTATTTTCATTTAAATTTATTTGTGTTAAGTGTTTTTTTTTGAAGGAACATAACTTTTAAGATTGAACGGTGTTTACTCAATATTTTTAAGGTTACTTTGTGTCTGAAAACCCATACCCTACCTAGAAGAGCGAGAGGTCCGTCCGTCATATCAACTGCGTACAAATTTTACATATAATAACAAAGAACCCTTTGCGATAAAATAGAATACTAAAAAAATATTTTTATTATTACAACAAGATCTTGTGCGAATTTTACAAACATTATCAGGAAATTTATGGTTATGGTTTTAAGAATGTTGTTTTCATATTTACGGGACAACATTTTTGTTTTTTTTGTCAAAAATTATTTCAGAAAGGTTCCCCAACCGCCTGGTTTCATACTCACATTTACAAAGTATCTACTACGCCTATTTTATTAACCTTATATTTTAATGCAAATAGGTTTACTACTGACGATATGGCAAATATTCATAATCATCGAACGAGTCTGACAAATAATAAGAATTCAATTTTCTTAACCTGTCCTATGCTGAAACGGAAAGTATTATTCTTGTACAAGAGTAGATTAATTATAAAATTGTAAGTATTATGTAGAAATTATTACTTAAAGAAGGTACCTTTAATATGTCAAATGTATGGCACAAGTGTGAAGGCTAGTGCACTTTCTCTTTTAACAGCCTCTTTTATTATGTGTAATAAAGTTTTCCTTTTCTTTCTTTCAATTTAATTAAATTAAACATGATAGCGCAATGTGTATGTCTATCTAAATTTAGAATGGGTTTATCGAAAATGAGGCGTAATATGATGCCATATTTAGTTCACTCTGCCTACATATGTCCCATGGAATCATAAAGGTCACTGAGCAATCATGAAGTGAACTGAAAGATTAACCTTTGCCTACTAATGAGTGAATAGCGTGTGACGAAATGTTCCTATATAATGCGAAATGGCGCGTCAATTTCCCAGAAAGCCTTATAAAAGACATAAAAACCGCTGTCCAAAGACTTTTTTTTATTTATTTTTTTATAGAACGGGGGGCAAACGGGCAGGAGGCTCACCTGATGTTAAGTGATACCGCCGCCCATGGACACTCTCAATTCCAGAGGGCTCGCGAGTGCGTTGCCGGCCTAAACACTACATGGAATAGCAGTTAGTAGACATGAGGCGAGAAGAATGGTGCTTTCTTGTATTGTTATTTAACATAAACCTACTGTCGAAGTGCCTTCATGACTTAGTGATAACTCATTTAGGTTCAATTCCCAGTTAAATTCTATTCCTGTCCACTGGAGGCTGATCACATAAATCCTTAAAAAGATCAAAATACAACGAACTACTGAGTGGTAACGGAATTCCAACACAATATTTATTACACGGCATACTTTGTGTTTCTAAGTCTTAGTTTACCTCAGTTTAATTTTTGTGTATTTGTATCATTATTAAATTTATTTTTGAATAAACCACAGAGCATTCTGTTTCTAGAAATATTTCTATATTTAATTTATACAGAATATTTTATATTTAAATCATAAATGACTTGAAGAATGACTAAGCCCTTATTAATGCCCCTTGAATAAGTATAAGGCTAGACTATAAAATGACTTATTGATACAATAGTTGACAAAGCCTATAAGCAGCTCGGTTTTGTAAGACGTGTCAGTGAACATTTTCATGATGTCAACTGTATAAAAGTGCTATACTATACATACCTACGCAAGAAGTGTTCACGAAGTCGCTGCGAAAAAAAAATTTAAAAGACCCATAACAACTTAACAAAATGTATCTCCTATAAGACCTATTGTTTAATACGTATAAAGACGCGTGTATCATTTACAAATTGATACCTCAGACTCTCGACGAAAACTATACGATCCATTGCTACTACATGATATCATCTCAAATAAAATTAATTGCACCCTCCTTCTAGAAAAATAGCCCTACCATGTTCCTGCATCAAGACTTGTAGTCGTGCTTTGTTTCATGTTCCTCACAACAATACTAACTATGCAAAAAACTCAATTTTGTATTTCGCAGTCCGGACCTACAACGACCAATATTTAAGCCTTGACTTGTTTAAGCTATCGCGGAATATGGTTAAGAGGAGTATTAAGTATAAGTATATATAGTAAGCGCAACATCACCTGCATAATGAGCACAGCCTATATACACACCTTCACGTACATACCCTCACTTTTACACCATCACATCATAGCCAAATAAGGTATTACTTAGTTAAATGTATTGAATAATTTTTATTGTTTTTTCCCTTTTGTAAATTTTTTCCATTTTGTAAATATTATGTATTCCATCTTTGGCTATATTTAAGCGTAATTGTTAATATATAATTTTTGTTAGATGTAGGATTACGAAATAAATAACCTACCTGCCCATAGGGATAGTGACGGTAGGGGGATCTCCCATACCCCAGGTTGGCGAGCATGTCAGAGCTGAAGCGGTTGAAGAGGCCACCCCAGGCGTGACTGGAGCCGAGACAGGCCAGCATCAGCAGCGCAGATAATGCCATGTTGATGCTATTAATAAATAAAAATATTAATATTAATTATAAAAAGATTATGTAATTCGGTGCAGATTTAGGTAAGTTGTGTATTTAAATAGATCACAATTATAATATTATTATATAGGAAAAATAATTTTATGATTTGATTCAATCGATTTATTGGTATAAATAAGTGTATTAACATAATTTCGCGTCTATGCAAAAACGTTAGAATTATATTTAAAAATTAAGTCCAATACGCCGTAGGATAATTATTAATTAATCGCCTCGAAACTAATCGATTCCTACTGGACTTTTATGAACAAATACGATTTATTCGTAAAAATCACAAAGTTTAGCGTCTTAATAAAGTTCCACGTTAAATTTTAACTTAAACACTGGCTAAATTATTATTTTATGTTTACGCAACTAACAGAGGTTGAAGCTAGATACTTACCGAAACATGGTCTGGTCTCCTTGGTGGCCTGGGAACAACTGTGGATCCATACAGGGTGGTGAAGTGCGCATGGTAGGAAGAAGTACGCGTCCATAATGGCGATTTTGTTTTGCGATAATTTTGCGACTTATATTTATGTAAGTAATCTAGAATTAGAATGTTAAGTGCTCATTGCATATTAATTTTGTGTGAATTCTAAACGGAAGATGTAGTTATTGTTATGTTAATATTTGCTGAAGTTTACAGACAATCAAATAACTATATAAATTCTCGTACGGCTCTTATCTTGTAAGTAGATTAAAATATGAAAAAGTAATAAAAAAATAAAAATAATATAAAGAAGAATAAAAAAGGTTTTATGCAGGCCAACAGTTTTATTTTGAAAGCTAAGGTCGAATATAAAACTGCGACAATAAAACTTTGCTTAACATTGAAAAATTATAAAATATCGGTTGTCTGGAAAGTCGGTTTACTGACGATAGTTGAATGTGACAACGTTATAAGAAAATACTGATGGAATGGTTGCATTATTCAAAAGAAAATTTTAATTTTATTTGTTAGATAGATGTTTTGTATGGATATAAAGAAGGAAGTAAATGGAAATCACATTTGAATTGATCAAGTTACATTTATTTGTACGCATAAATACAATTATGTATGTCAATTTTTGTGTGCAAGCGAGAGCGCGGAACGAGTGCTCTCGCTTGCACATCAAGCCTTAATGGAACGCCTCAGAGCGAGGTAACGCCGCATGAGTTATGTTTTTTTGTGCGTGCAGCCGCGCGGGCTCCATCGAATTATAAGGCGTTGTCACGACAAAAATATGATCTGTTTTATATTAGGTCTTTAGCTATGTAATTGGAGATTTAATTATCTATGAATTGGCGCGCAATTCGAAATTCAAATAAGTTTTTTTTTTTTTTTTATAATGGCTCTGGCACGGTTTGTGCATTAGCCAGAGTCAATTATAAGATTTTTATAATTCGTGCTTTTTGCCTTAGAATTCGACCATGCCCATGTACGGTTTAGGCACTCGCCCGGTACCGCACAACCCTCCCAAAGGCCGAGAACAAATTTAAATTAAATTAAAACTTGCCCTCGAACCGGGAATCGAACCCGGGAAAATTTTTCTATTAAATTTCGTTATATTTGGTGTCAAATTGTGAACATTATGTATTATAAATCGCATAAAATTAAAATAACGGTGACCAAACCCTTACCCAACTGATATCAAACACAAAACATTTTCTCGGAATTTCCTATTTATAATTTCGACTATGTTTCAAAGGAGAGATTATTTCAAACTGGGAATATTTTATAAATGAAATCTGACGGGAATTTTCTTTTGATGTTGATATTTTTTTGACCTTTGATAACATAAAATTCATCCTTCAAAATTAATCATTATGTTGGCTAATTAAGAAACAAATTATGTTTTTTGCAAAAAATGTTGTAGATATTAAAGTTTGATACTTCAAATGTCTAAGGCGATATTATTCTGTAAGAATGTCTTACAGTATGAAGCCCCGCATTACATTTCAACTATTCCACAGTAATTTGTCTTCAAGCGTATTTATATAAAACACTACTAAGCCATTGATTAGGATCCATACAAAATTTTGTGAAAATATATTTCTATTATTATTAAAATAGAGTTCAAAATTTGATTTGACGTCGTTGGGATGACAAATTGAATACGCCCACGTATTGACGTCACTATGCAATTTCCTTTAGAGGTCAAATTATACGATTTTCATTCGATATTTTACCTGACGGCTAGGAAATAATGATACGTAAAATATCATCTTACTTTGGGAATATTTATGTTACGTATACACGTTTAATGCTGTTATTATATTGCTAAGTGGTTTACGGACGGGTGTGTTCTAATCCCACACAATAATTGTTTTACATTGGTTGAAAAAATATATTATTTACCTAAAAATGAGAAAAAAACGGCGGTAGTTAAAAGAACTAGATTTATGATAGGTAAGCTTAGTTATACACTCAGAGGCTCTTATATGCTTTCCTGAAGACGGTAACTTACGCAGCAGTTCTATTTCTTCTATTTCAAAAACCAATCGTTGTCGTTACGATTCGTAAATAATTTGTTTAACATTTGTTCTGTTCTCTAAAGGATTCACCGTCAGTGTCAGATCGAGTTATTTATCTTCGTTAAGTTTAACCTTTACAAAATTAAATTAAGAATTAAATTACCATTACTTCTGGGACCTGCGAAGATGTAATAGGTCGTTTAATTTAATAAATTGTACAAATATTTTAATCTTCAAATTCTTTTATCTTTATTTTAATATGGTAACATAAAAATTAACAATTTTATAAACTACACAACATTAACTATAACAAGTCAAATTAACATCCAAAGAATTAAAGTAGCAAGTTAAGCACGGTTTGTACCACCATGACGACCAATTGTAATAAACCTGGCAGCAAAGCCCCGCCAATGCCCACCAAAACGTCGTCTGCGAGCTCGGAAACGGATGACACAAGATTCGTGAGTAAATTTTGCATGTTGGCAATACCGGAAGTCGGCGTACTAGGATTCGCGCCAACCGCATATTCTGGTAGCGACCTCAAAAAGTTCACTATTGCTAGAGCTTGGGAGTATAGCTTCAAAAGTGACGTTTCAAGTGCACTTAAATCCACTGGTATTAGGGCGCTAATAGGTGGCGGGAGTGTGTCGAAGATTGACAGGAGCGATAAAAGAAGGTTGTATACGTTGTTGAGAAGTGGTAATAATATGTTCACAAGTGGGTACACAGCTGGTAGTTGAACAGATGTTGCCGCAACTGGCCGCTGAAAAAATAAAAACTTAGTTACCCCTACAAATATTTAATGCTTTTTTGCAGAGTGAACCACTTTTGACAATACAAGTTATGTATAAAATATTTTGCGATAAAATTTAGGTTCAAATGGTGTTTTAATACTTACTACTATTCTTATTTAGTATTTAAATCTATATTTATTGATTAACATCATATTATTTTTAATTTTCATACGTAAAACCTTTAAGTGGTAAAATTTTGGTGATTAAAACAGAAACTCACCATAAACGAGACCGCTACACAGACTAAAAGAGCTAAAGTCACTTTTGACGCCATATTTTTTAATAAAAAAAAATATTTACCCAAAAATGACCTATTCTCGTATATCCAAGTGCTTTGTGTTATTTTTTATTATAAATACATTTTATATATTACATATTGCAATATATTTTGTGTCAGTTTTCCTGATAAGATATAAAATTACCTAATTTCATATTGTACTTTTTTCGTATCTGCATCATTGTTTTCTATCAAAATATAATTTTCTCGCTAATGTTATTAGATTTCATAAAATAAATTCTTCAAAAAAAAAACCTTTAAAAATTGCCAACAATCCCTTCTCGTTTATGGTCAATGCCAGACTACGGAATATTTGAAAACAAAACAATAATTTCTCAATTACAATTGCAAAATCTAGTGTTATTTATAAGCGAAATATGTATAAATAGGTAAGAAGTTATTGTAAGGACGCTTGAGTGTAATTATGATTAAATAAATTAAAACAGAGTTAATTGTTATGTATTTGTTGCATTATGGCAGATGCGCGCAAATTCTAAAATAAAGAATAGAACAATGGATTGTGACTACTCATTTTACCCGTATATCCCAAAAAAGTAATTTTATATTCAATAAGCGCAATTTACGTCTATGAATTGAATTGGTTTCCTTAACAAGTTAACCAAGATGTTTACCTACTTTTGTACACTAAAACTTAAGACTGTTTCTAGAATATTTTCATGTTCTACACTCTAAAATGTCTAACGAAAAATACATATAATTCCTATTTATTCAAACTGCCAAAATTTTTGTTTTCATCATTGCTTGGTTCACCCAAGGTAATTTTTATAAATAACCATATTTGTTTAAAAATTATTTGTACATGTCATGACATTAATCATAAACAAAGGAAGTCCCTTAGTACAAGGGGCTACCTTATAAACGATTTCTTTTAACCAGTTTTGAAATTTAATAAAGAAGAAGTTCAGGAAGGGCGAAATGTTCTTTTATCTGTTGAAGTAACTGTTTTTTTTTATAGAAATGGTTGGATTTCAACATCACCGATTGAGCGATTACTAACCTATTCTTTGCCAAGATTGCTAAATTATCAAGGAAATAGATAATATTGTTTCATACTATATTTAGGTAATAATATTAACAATGATAACAAAGCTTTATATATTAGTGTATTGTATTTTTGACTACAAAACTATATCTGTTAGTGATAATTTAAATATATTTATTTTATTATGCGGTATCCCGTTGGAATCACTTTTTTGGTTATATTTTTGGTTAGTTTCATGTATTATTTTAATTTGATTATATTTAATTAGCCCGCCTATGTGTTTGACAAGCTAATGAGTGCCTGGCAGTAGTAACTATTTCTAGATTTATTTTACAAACTAATTAAGCTATTTTTCATTGTTATATGCGTACGAGTATAGTAACTTATACAGTTTTTCAATGTTTGTGCTAATATTGAGTTTAGTCATTATCCTAACAAATTAACACTTAATCGTAAAAATTAGATCAAATATACTAGAAAACAGCATTTAGCGCCGTACATTTAATTAAATTTATTCTACTCAAATCAGTGTAGTATATTCTTACCTTCTGGAAACGGAAATGATTTTCCATTTATATTCAACATCTGTCGACACATACCAGGATTTATCGAAAGTTTAATGTTTTTGTATCTATTCCTTTTAATTAAAATTGTCCGGATCGCTTCTTATATTTTTACAGAGTAAATGTAGGTTATTATTTTAATTTACAAATATTCATCATTGATCATTTAGGTCTTAACTAATTGGGGATGGTTTAAACTCTGACAACATTGCAATTTAAGTATATCGAAATGCAGTAAAAAGTTGAGTTTGCAGTGAATTTTTAAGGGTTGGATCATATTAATTGATTCTATAAGCCCTAAATAGTCGTATACATGTGACAAATATGTATCGTTAAGAGATTTTTAATTATTTATTAAATACTCCGTTAAAATGATAAATGACGATTCAGTGAAAATGTCACGCCCTGTTTCATTTTTTGTAAGAGACTAGCGCGTTTGCTGATATTTCAATGTACTTCTAATTAGAATAATATTTTTTTTACACAAATAACTATCAACTACCAGTCATTAATTTCACATATTATTTTTCAGGTTAAGGACACAACAGCAATGATACCAGCCTATTCAGTTTCCGCACTTCGGCTTGCTTTCGACGAAATATCAACAGTGGTACCCGTCGCCAATCAGCTAGCCAGTCTGTTAATACCATTCCTTATAAACCTTATTAACAACTTAAACAATCTATCAAACATCGTACAGAATTTGACACCAGCATTATTGCCATACTTTGGTTGTACGTTACCATTATTATATGCTACATTAACAGATTTAACATCTGTCCTGTTTTTGTATATAAGTGTTCTTATATCCTTGTTCAGGTCAAATGTTCTAGCAGCTCCTGGCTTGTTATTAGGTCTTGTGTCACAGGTTTTGAACTTAGTATTGGGCCTGTTGACTGGTTTAACTGATAACACTGGTTTACTGTCAGGATTACTTAAATTAATTACCAATGTGTTAGTGGAATTAGAAAAGTTGTTGATTTGAATAAAATGTTTGTTGCATTAATATGTATTTTAATGGTTATCATGAACTTATTAAACGTATATGTAAGCCTGAATGCATTTAAGAACATTTTGAAGCCTCGAATGAATTTATAACATAACCTAAATGATTTGCGATATATTAGGCCCCACCTATTTCAGAGGTGTTTCGGCGAGGCTTCTGTTCAAAGTAATAAAATAAATTTAATCCTATATATATACAACAAGCTGTGTAAGCTTTGTGGCATCAGCGTGTGACTCTCATCTCTAAATTTAACAATCGATCGTAGGGTGAAGGAAAATACCGTTGAGAAATCGGCATGGCATAGACCCAAAAAGTCGTCAGCGTGTGTCAGGCACAGAAGACCGATCACCTACTTGCCTATTAGAAAAAAACAAATGATTACGAAAATAGATACAAACATCTGAGGCCTGACCAAAAAGGTTGTAGCGCCACTGGTTTTTATGAATATTTTAAAATGAGACTCGAAAATATTCCTTCTATAATAAAATAGAATTAGATATAAATATCGATTCACTTATTAGGTACAATAATATCTGAATCTCTGGTTATATATAGAATTAGCAACAAATTAACAAGTATATAAATATATACTAGTAAAATTTTCGATTTATTTTAGACGGTTTTCAGAAGTACAAGACGATTTTCGTTAAAACAATATTTATTCATTTTTCATTATTTATTTTTGATCTAGTCGAGTCAGGGTACTTAAATCTCAGGGGCTTTGAATTATTTCTTCTCATATATTAGAGATTATAATAACATACCTATGAAACTCACCTAGTACGACTGTTATATGGTGAAATACTTTTTAGCTTCTCTAAGTCTAAAAAAATTAGAAGCGGTAGCAGGAAGCGAATGGAGGAAGAAAGATATAGACAGAGTCAGTTGGAAATGGTGAAGGGATTCCGATCGACGGTACTGAAGGTAGCAAGGATATAGGATTACGAGATAAAAATAACGTATAAAATGTAAAAAATCTAAGCTGTATATTAACATTTTTTTGTCATGATTGGAAATTAAGTGGGCTTTATTATTATTATACGTCTTAGAGTGAGTAGTGAGAGTATTAATAGGCTCCTATTGTAAGATTCAAACCGAGACTTAACGCTAATCCTATGTCAACTAAGAGAGATGTTGGCATTATGGCGCTAACTAATGAGACAATTTTGCTTCCACGGCATGATTATACTTATTATGTAATAATCTTATGTAATGATACATAAGAAAACTCGTGGTTTATCAACATCATTAAAGACGTATCTCGGTTCTTTCTCTTAATATATAAAGAAAATTCACGAGAGTCACGTACTAATAATTACGACTCCGTTTAATATTACTGTTGATATATCATAGAAGGATAATGTAGAATTATGTTTGGAGTTAGCTTGTTAATGTGTGGTTTCGTTTGTTTGGTAAGTTTAGCTTTAGGGAATATTTAACTTGGCTGTGGTCTACGTGGCATTAGTCTATTTATGTTCACGGTCCTAAGCATCTTTTATTGATTGGAGCGAAGAAGTTGAACGATTTAAGTGCTTAGAGATTTGGACTAATTTTTATTAATAACCAACCACAAAGAATGTTAGAAAATAGATTTTTATTTCATAAACGCTAATCGAATGAAGCTTGTAATATGTTGTTGTAGTATATTTAGTTATACTTAGCTACATACAAATAAGAATATTATAAAATAACATTTAGTATTATGAGAATTCAAGATAATGGTATTATTATAAAGGTTTACATTACAGTCAATTATACTTTATTTAATACAAAAGAAATATGTAATTTAACTCTAAGTGGAGAGTAATAAATATGCCAACATACTGCCTTAAGAATCTTGTGTACATAAATTACCAACATACTACAACTAACATGTTTAGAAAAAATTATCACATTAAACTAATTCATACTCTAATTTATAAAATTTCAGGTGAAATCACAAAATCAATTCCAGCAATTTCAATCATATCCTTACGGGACAAGCTATGCTAGTATCTATGGTAAACAGCCCATTATAGCTACACCCGCAAGCTCTTATAACCAAGTTCACAATACTGTGCAAAATCCCTATATATACCCTGAAACGCCCTCAATAGCTAACAATTTAGAGGGAATCTATTTGAACAAAATACTTTCAAATCCCGCCATCCAGGCTTTCATAGATCCTGGTACGAAGATTTATAATCAAAATGGCATAGAAATATCAGATCTAGTTCGACCAAGAACTTCTAATGTGGTCAATAACTATTTTATTGTTCCAACTGATTACTTAAAGACGAATGAAAGCAGACCGTTTTTGAAAAATACACGACATAAAAATCAAAATAATTATTATAATTCATACCCAAAGAGATATTTAAGGAACGAACAGGTTAAAAGTACAGGAGAGTTTAAAAGTGATGATAAAACAAGGCCAAGATATAGAAAAAATCAGCAGCTAAATCCACAATGTAAAGACAATGGGGTGGGTAAAAAGCAAAAGACGTTAGATGATCCAGAGGTCATATTTGGTGACCTGAGTGTTAGAAGCAATAAACAACGTGATAGCATTAAAAGAGAAGATAAAATGTCTACTCGGCAACATTCTGAAAAACCATCAAAGACAAGCAATAATATAAACTATGATGACGAAAGACTGGTAACAAAAAATAGTAAAGACAGACGATTGAATGATGGGCCAAAAGCCCAATTTGAGAGTAATTTAAATGAATGTGATGAAGCGTTTTATATAAGTGAAGAATGTTGTGAATTGGATAAGAGAAATCCTCGCAATCCCGTCAACAAACCGGTTAAGAAGAAAAGTCAAACTAAATCTACAAAAAATCAGAACGATTTCATGAATAACTGGATGAACTATGTAAAAATGTTTATGCCCGATCAAAATAATGATTCTGTAGACTTTTCACAGATTAAATTTCCATATAATTTTGATCAAATATCTAATTTTAATAATATTAAACCACAAGTAAGTAAATCAAATAAAAGAAATAAAAAACGAAAAGAAAAAGAAAAAGAACATCAAGTATTAGAGATATTCAATAAAACTGGCTCAACTAAGAAAGATAAAAATAAAATAGTAGAACTGTCTCCGAAGTTCATCGAAGTAGAAGAAAAAAAAGAACCCGTTAAAATAAATAAAGTGACTAGCTCGATTCCAGAGTCATCAACGGAAACATCTGAAAAGGTTGCAAATAAACAAAAACCATTATTAATAAATTCTGACATCAGTGTGGAAGAAGTACCCAATATGTATCAAAATGAGATAATAGATTACTACCCAGACTTTAAAAGTGATGCAATATATACTACAGATGAAGATGACTTGTATTTCTTCCATAACAGGCACTACTATAACACCGAAGAGGCACTCAATCGTGAAAGACGAAAATACGATCGAAGTGAAGAAAACTCCAATCAATCTGGAAGGAAAAGCGGCAACGATATTCCTTCGTATAAAAAAAGCAATACAAAAGATAAAATGGAAGATCAATTCCGGACTCCTCCGGGTTTGAGTGATCCAGGATTTCAAACAAGAAAAATAAGTGTGAAAGATAAGACTGGTTTTTATTCATATCACATTGATGACAAAGATTCAACAAATTTTATACCACTGGAAAAAGACGACAATAGCATCGAAACAGTCTATGCCCGTTCTAAAGTTGTTAAATACGGTAAACCTAGAGAGGTTGAAAAACATAAAATAGATCCTGATCAGGAAAATAGGAACGAAAGACGTCGAAACGTTTATTCTAAGGACGGCGAAACAACTATTGTTTTTTCTAAAGCATGGATTCCGGACAAGAGTGTAAAGTAAATGGAGATTTTCGTATGTTATCATTTATATGGTTTTCTACAGCAATTTTTATATCGATACTTTTTTTTCTTACCAGCTTATGTCTTATGTGTATTTTAAAAATAAATAAAGTGCATAGAATATTCTGTTAGTAAAGAAAGAAATACCTTTTTCTTTATGTTAATTTAACAAGTTATAATTTATTAAAACATTTTATATTGATTCTTTATTTATTATTCACGAAAATTTCCGTATATAGGTTAGGTCATAATATGCTAATACCAACGTCACTTCTATTTTTCAAGTTAAAAACTAAAGAATCCAATGCGTATAACATGAATAATTTAGGCCAGTGACGCTTCAAGTCTTTATAACAGTATGGTGCCATCGTCGTTTATAAGACCAATAAAATCGAACAGAAAGGATTCCTACCTCGTCTTACATGACTACTTCTGTGCGCTGTTTTAGGTCTGAGAGACATGTAAATAGTTGCCTTAGAATGTTATTGAAATAAAATATCGTTAGGGAACTGATCAAGCAAGTTTTAATGTACCTACTATTTGCAACATTTAAAAAAACCTACACAATCGGGATTTGAAGGCACGTTCACGGGGTTAATATCACACTACTAAGATAACACTGCTCTACAGCATATACGTAAATTGTTCTTTAAAAATATTTTTGTAACAATTAAACTTTGATAAAAAAACTATTTTACTTAACCATTATTTGTAACTGGAATAACAAGTTATGGTATTTCTTTAAAAGTTATGGTAAATATTATATACTTACGGCGAATAAACATTCCCAACAACTGTTTATTCACTCCAGTATTCAATTCAGTTTACGCAAATAAATGTAGATTGAATTCTCGCTAACGTATCTTTGTGAAGGCTTTCACTGTATTTCAGACGCGTGAATGTGTAATGAACTCTTAGTAAATGTTTATTTTCCTAAATTTGTTTTAATGTATATTTGAGAAAACAATATTTTTAAACATACATACAATAGCGTTGCCCATTGCCTAATAACTTATGTAATCTGATATTTATATGAATGTTTCAGGTAACTAAATGTAAATACAATAAAATAGCGACTTTTTGTTATGATGTCAAGTTTTATTGTTAACATCCTAAAAAGTTTTTTGGGACAAAAAAATATCCGGAAATTACTTCGATTGTTTGTGGTGGCATGAAAGATAGTCACACATCATTTTAAAATATTAACCTTTCAGATAATTTGAGAATGTAATGTTGTAAGTAAAATTAAATATAATATTATTATTTATTACTATGTAGGTTAAGAAAATATACAGTATATTAATTGATTGTTATAAACTAGTAAACAGATTTCGTTGAATAAGTCGAATAAGATGTGAAAATAAAACAAATACAAACTATGTGTAAGATATCTTAATGTACAAATAGTAAACAGTCACTATTATAAAATAAATAATTAACCCTAATAATTATACAATTATAATAATATCATTGGATATTTGCTGTACTGGTGGTAAAACATTAATTGTTATCGTAGATACACTCGGTTTAGATGATCTATTGGTAGCAGTGCTTGTCGAATTATCTTTTCTTATTTTTATTGGCGTCTCTGGTAAATACCTCGGCGATTCAATACAAGGATGCGTCACTTCAAAAGTTGGTATTTCACATGATATTGGCGTTACGTTGAAGCCTTGGGATAATGGTTTCTTTAACGTTTTAGAAATATCTTTATTTAAACTTGATAGAATATTAGAAACAATAACTGAAGTTATATTATTTAAGGAAGCACTTAAAAGCGAGTTATATTTATTAATAGGAGAATGGACCTGGTACCCAGTGTTTGCTAAAACATTAACATTAGAAACTTTTGGTTTTATCGAATTAAAATTTGAGTCATTTTGTTGTAGTACTTTTGGTGCGATTGTTGTGACTGTGGGGTTTTTATAACCTTCTGGATTCTGAGCTTTTGTGGGATTAAGAAAAGTAACTTTAGGTTTATTGATTTCATAGAATGAGTATTTTGGAGCTTGTACTGTATAAGGCGCAGCAGAAATTACTGGTGTATTGTGTATTGATTTGACATTAATGGTAGTTTGTTGAGGATAAACTTTAATAGGAGTTGGTTGTACATACATTGGAGAGGTATACATTCTTTCCTTATCTTCATTGTTAAGATTTATAGGAGACGACAGAGACGGAAGCGCATAACATTTAATAGAATTGCTTAAATTTTCCATATAATTTTTCGAAATCGAATTAGGATGTATGATATATGGTTCATCTATCGATGGGTGCACTTCAGGTATTTTATATACTACTCCACTTATATTTTGGTTAATAGAATTACCATCTTGCCTTGATGTCAAATTATTTCTTCCGAGATAACAACGTGGTACGTGATTTATCGAGCTTTCAATGCTTTCCGGTACGATGTTTTTTATATCACATTTTACAAATGAATTGTCTATTGCTAAATTTGGTTGGATAAAAACTCCTTCAGCGTTGGTTCTTATACAATCGCAATTAACATTGTTCTTAATTCCGTTATATAAAAGGGAAGATTTGTTGTTGCTTGGATAGTAGATCGCTTTAATACCGTTCAGAGGTACTGACGATTTTAAATTTAACATATCGTGTTTCGTTTGTTTATTACTTCCATTATGATTGATTGGCTCAATACAATCGTTAATAAGTTTAGAATTAACATCAAATATAGGTGATCTGCACAACTTATCGTAATGATGTGGTGTTTCTTGTGTTGCTCCGATTGATTTTGAATTTTTAGCCATGTCATAATGAGACGGAATAATCTGGTTTGCCGTGGTCTGTATTTGTCGTCTTAAAAATCTTGCAGGGTTCATATCTTCCACGGTACTGTTACTAAAACTATTTTCGTGTCTTGTTTCGGTGCACGTCTGATTAACGGAAGGACAAGGAATTTCATTGAGCCTGTTGCGAGATTTATCACTCAGAGAAATCCCTGTTACCCCTGGAGTAGTCGATAAAGAACTATTATCATAAGTTTTTTGAGATTCAAAAGGTTTTGGTTTGTGTATTTGCTCACTTGCTATTTGCTGAGGTAACCTCGAAGATGACGGTGTAGTCTTAGACTGTTCGATAATATTTTGTACATCTTTAGTATGATTAACAGCATATAAGTTTCTCAATTTATTTTCGAGGCTATCCATATATTTTTTATTTGATGGTGTTTTCCAAAAAGGAATATCGTTTAGATGGCCATCAGATATATTTTCCTCGTCTCCTTTTACTTTTTCAAATGTTTTTGTTATGTGAGATGTAAGTAGTCTATTTTCTACAGCACTTGCTGAAGACGTAAGCGAATGCTTTAAATGAGTTTGATCTTTAAACTCGACAGCTTCATTGGATGTCCTATAATTTCCAGGTAAATTAGTGCCTGGTTTCTTATTTATGTGCCTATTATCAAGAGGAATTCTTTCTGAAAACTCACTATAATTTTTATTGACTCCCCTACACTCTACTATTGGAGAAATGTGTGGTATGTAAGCATTATCTAAACTATATTCAGATTTTAAAGGAATCTGCATAAAGAATTGTGATGCAACTTTAAATGTGCATCGTATTCAGGGTTAGAAATTCTGTTTTCATTAGTTTTAGGATTATCCAATCTCTCATAATAATGGGAGGTATATTTATTTTTTCCATAAAATTTATCGGGATTACGTTGTATTTTGGCTATATCCTCCTCCATATCCAAGGTTTTACTTTTCAGAACATTTTCTCGGTTACTACAATTGGGCTTTTCAGCATTTCCCATTTCTTTACTGGGGTATAGTTCTTGAGTAGAAAAATCATTGTCATTTATTTTAGACTGAAGACAATGATTTTCTGGTGAAATTTCAGGATTTCTTTTTGATGTTCTATATTCATTATCTCTTCTAGATTGAGGAGGAAGTTTGAAGTTAAATCTTTCGGACTTCAAAATGTCGTCATCCTTATAGAATCTATAGGAAGGATCATCGAAAAATTCCTTCCGGTTCTGTGTTTCAGAGTTAATATCATTCAGAAAAGGGTCGTAATATTCTTCCTTATATCTTCGTATTGGGAGATTATATGGAGCAGCAGGAGACACTTTCGATTTAACATTTAATGGAAACGTCTGTTCGTTTGGTATTATTGCAATATTCTGAAAAGTAGGAATAATTTTGTCATTACAATTTTTATAAAAAATAAATAGAATAAATTGATTTAAGACATGTTGTCTAACAAACAATAACAAATATTGATTTATCGGGGTGCTTCATTACGTATATATTATTAATTTGTGCTGTCAAAAGACACACTTAAGCATCGTAATATGCTTAGGCATCTTAACCTAGTCTCTGAGTAATATCGTTACCAATGAGTTCATAGACAAATTAGAAAAAAATACGTAAATATACTTACTTCATTTATGTAAATTAAAAATAAGAATAACACAAACGCCCCCATCATTAAAGTATTCGGCAAATGACGAGCGATATATTTATAATATTTTATATTGTAATATCGAAATAAAAATCAAGTTAGTAGGTAATCGATTTGTAAGTTATTTTGTAACATTCGATGTATTCTGATTGACCTGATTTGCTTAATGTTTATGTAATAGTATTTTCAATTTTTTTTCTTAACAAGTTTTATTGTCAATAGATCTCGAAAATTCTGAAGCATTTAATAAAAATACGGCAACGTGATATAATAAATTGTGCCAAAGGGGTATTTGAGGAACAAGGTATTTTAGATTTAATTAATTGTATAATGCAATGCAATAAAATGCAATTAACCAAAAAATATCTTATAAATATTTGTCGTAAACCTTTAGAAAAACTATTAACTTATTTTTAATTTTCGTGAATTTCGTGAATTTAAAACTCGTGAATTTAAATTTTTTAAGGACTGTACACATAGACAACTCATAGTTATTGATCGTCACATCAATGAATAGCGGTCATGTTACTATATGAGATTCGCCATACAGACGCTAACCTACGCAAACCATATTATACCATAGACCTAAACAATATTCCATACTAGATATTGATTATTCCTAAAAGGAAACCGGAAATGTTAAGAGCTCAAATTCGCTTATCCATTTCCGGTTGTCATATACAGAGTAAACTAATATAATATATGCTGCTTCTATAGAAGAACAAAGTAGACAATACATTTCTGTGCTCTTGTCATCTGTTTGGTAATTTCCTATTAAATATTATTTTAGTTATTTTTTATTGACCTTTTTATTGAACTATTTAAATTCTTGAGTAATATGAAATACCTATGTTTTCTGTGAAACATGAAAATTATTACCATACTATATTGTTATCGATATTTGCATAATAGGTAGATAATGAATAATCAAAACATCCAGGACGTGCCTTTATTAATTAAATTTTTAAAATTTCCTAGATATTACTATCGTTAGCGTTGTGCAAAATAATAATATAAATTTAAAAACAATACAACATTAATTCATTGTATAAATTAAATTTTGACAGTCAGTCTATTAATTCTTCTTAACTTCCTTAATTTTATAAAATGAAGAACACAATTTTATTTATAACTTTTCAAGCCATTATTATTCAGGTATTTCTTTACTAACTTTCTAATCACTGGAAAAATAACTTATTAGAAAATTATCCAAAGTGTCGAGTTAATATACAAAGATAGATGATAGACGACATAATAAACCTAGTTGCATCATCAGTTTGCCAAAGTCCCAACGTAACCTAACCTTTTCAGCGATTTTAAAGAACTTTCTGCCCCGCACCACCCTTTTGTTGAACTACTAGTAGAGGTTTTTCTGAACCATTACGACGTACGGGCCTTAAATGAAAGGGCCTACCATTCCCTAAATTAGTGGCCTTCCGGGTTGGCAACACACCTGCAACCCAAAGATGCATGCAGGAATGATTGCCTTCTACCTCTGAAGAAAACTATCACATATGTCAATAACTCATGTATTTTTTTTCACAGACCGCTTACTCTCAATGTGTCAATCGAGTTGTCTCCAACTGCGCTCCTAACGTTGTCGAAACGATTCTGCCAAACCAATACTTTGGCTGCGGGCCACCAGGTCCCGTACTGCCCGCTTTCGGAGCATTGGCACCTGCTCCCGTTTTGGCACCGCCTCTAGTGCCAGGTGTGATCTCTGAAGTTGGATATCCAACTGTTATTCAAGACAGCAGTGTTGCTAATAACTTGGCAAACGCCCTACAGCTACTTGTTGTTAGCAATTTGTTGAGTAGCACATTGCCAGGCCCCTGTGAATTGCCATTACCCGGATATCCGGTGGAAAGTGTGGTTCCAGTGTCATCGATGCCAGCCTATAATTATGTTTACTAGTTTAATAAAATTAAAAGCATACTCTTTTTTTTATTTCACCGCTATTTTATACTATAAAGTTATCATAACATATAATAGAAAAGAATAATACAACAAAAAAAAAAAACTTAATTTTACCGATAACCGGTACCTGAAAAAACCTCGATTAGCTTATAAATGTTTTGACCTTGTCACATAGCTATAAATAAACAAAACATACTACGGCATTGGACATAATTTAAAAACAACATTCGAATAATAATAGAATTTATGTTACACTTAATATAAGAGAATAATAATAAATATTTATTTATTTTATTTTTCAAATGTAAACTGAACTTTATTGACTATAATGACTCCTGTTCCAGTCTTTGATTATTTAATTGTAATTAATTATTTGCATGCAATCAAAAACTATTTTTAATAATGCCAAAGAAGTATAACTTCTTACGCGCGTACATAAGTACACGCACCCTTTTTTTTACATAAAATTACTCGAACGAATTCAAATCTAGTCTGAAAATGTTTAATTTTATGATTGACTGAGAAATCTTGCAATACAATGCTAAAATAAAACTACAAATATATCGTAAAAAGCTCAACAAGGTTCCATTTTACTAACAATATTATAGCCCTGTATTATATTGGCAATTTGATCGGAACCAATCTCGATCGTGACAGGAATGTTTAAATTATTGCAAAAGCTTTACTTAAACCGGTTTAAAAGAGCAGTAGATGTCAAAATTAGTAATAGTAAATATGCTTCTAATAAGTAGCATTAAATGTCCGTTCTCAGAGACGTCCATTAGGAGTTCTTATATTTCTTCTGTTTGTGCTTCCCTATTACCAGAGATTGGCTGTCAGTCTTGAAGCGTGTCTTGACATGTGCCAGAAGCAACTCTTCCGCAGTCGCAATACCCGTTAACGATTTATCCTTTCTACCAACAGGCCCTTTTTCCCTGGATCTTATTAATCGTAATGAAGGATGTGGTAGCTGTCTTGGCAAAACACGTGCCCCATCGCTATGCAGTAAAATATGTTTTACTTTACTATGAGGAGCAGTGTTGGCCTAGTGGCTTCAGCGTGCGACTCCCATACCTGTGGTCGTAGGTTCGATCCCCGGCTGTGCACCAATGGACTTTCTTTCTATGTGCGCATTAAACATTTGCTCGAGCGGTGAAGGAAAACATCGTGAGAAAACCGAAATGTCTTAGACCCAAAAAGTCAACGGCGTGCGTCTGGCACTGGAGGCTGATCCTACTTGCCTATTAGATTTAAAAATGATCATAAAACAGATTCAGGTTGTAGCGCCACTGATTTATTTTATTTTAAAATATGTTTGCCACGTACATGCATAACATAGCTATATACCATACCTAGCTACCAGTCTGAAGTCGAATCTATATGTCTACTAGTTCAACGTGTAGTTTTCTATATATTGTAGCTGAGCTTTACCATTCTTTAGAAATTATACATTTGATTAATCTAACAATCAATACTATCTATCTAAACTGTAAATAAATGATTAATTAAAGATGTATATATAAATCGCCTTCACGGCGCGGTTTACACTATGGCCATAGGTTCTATTTGTGGCGATATCATTCGTGTTGCTCTTCTATGACTTGCCTCTTTGGCAATGTTTTCTGAAAGACTCAATGTTAATTGCGTGAGTGAGAAAAATTGGTGTAAAGCCGGGGTTCAAACGCAAGACTCTCTGTGTTGAGAGTTGCTGTTAGCTGTTAGTCTAACACTAATGTACCTATATTTGAATTTACGGCTGTTACCTACGATTGAAAGATATAATAATAGAGTATGAATAATGAAGTTAAAAGTACTTTTAACAAATATTTAAGTACAGCTGAATGAAAGTACAGTGTGAATATCATATAAATATTAAATTGTATTTTAATTGTTAATTCAAATTTGCATACTTCACAAATACTTAACCTGATTTCAATTAGTCACGCAATTCAGCATTTATGTCACGAATACGCTTACTATATAAATTATGGTTAAGTAAAGAATCTTTATTTCTGATACAAATTAAAAAAAATTACACAGAAACATTTATAGGTATATTATAATGTTTTGTTTGCACCGACTATTATATGATATACAACTCATTACTCAACAAAGAAAACAAGATAAAATAATACTAAGTAACAAAAATAAATTATAAATAGTGATTTACAAATAACGCAAATCTATATACGTATTATTATTATTATAATTATATTATGATAGTTAATTAATAATTAATTTAATACACAAAAAATCATCGTATTTAAAAAAACATCAACTTTACCACATTAGGTTTATAATTTTAGTAGCCATTAAATAATGTTGAAAAAATAAAATTACTTAAATACTTAGATTTAAGTAATTTGATTTTTTCATGTAAATGGTAATGTAAATATTTTAAATGAGAATAACTTTTCCTTAACCTAACCCACGCACTGAAGTAACATTTTGGACAATTACAATATTCAACAGTCGTTGGGAATTTGAATTTAAGCAGTTATTTGTATAATAAATCCAAAACAATAATTATAATATATATCCTAACTTAATTACTACTTTAAACTACTAACAAATTTAATGAATATTTCTAAAATTAAAAAAAGGGTGTGTGTACTTATGTACGCGCGTAAGAAGTTATACTTCTTTGGCATTATTAAAAATAGTTTTTGATTGCATTAAAATAATTAATTACAATTAATATCAAAGACTGGAAAAGGAGTCATTATAGTCAATAAAGTTCAGTTTACATTTGAAAAATTAAATATTAAATAAATATTTATTATTATTCTCTTACATTAAGTGTAACATAATGGCGTAGCATGCCGTAGCATCTTCCGTGGGAAACTTAATTCTGTTAATTTTGTGTCACGGTGTGCGCGCGTCGTAAAATTTTACTCTCCTCAATTTTTCATAACGCGCCTAAAGAAGTATAACTTCAAAAACATCTTTTATTCGTCGCTCGGTCTCCTTAAACTGTCGCAAATAGGTATACTCGTATGTACCTATACCTAGTTGTTTAATCCTCCTCGTAAGCAGGATTGAACATATGTTCAGTGTTGATACGAAACCATATTTCTTACAGTAAATTGAGTGTAGTGTGTAAAATAAATTAAGTAATGTTTAAAGAACTTTATTGTCATTAACAATTTTTTATTATTTTTGCTCAAAAACATCACATATGTTAAAATAAGGACAATCAAATTATGAAAATATTTTTTTAGAAAGGATATACATGTGTGAAAATGACATGACAACTTACGAAGGCACAGCGCTATCAAGATCCATGCAACTTCCTCACAATAACGTAGCTCGCAACATCGCAGCACACAAATCGCGAAGAGACTCCTTGTATCGAAGAAGTCGCATGGGTCCGCCAAGCATCCGCGAAAATGTAAATTTTACAGCAGTTAATTTATATATTTATAATAGGGCGGCAAACGAGCCTGCGGGACGCCCAAAAAGGGCAGTTATCGCAGCCCATAGACACCCATTTTTAGTGGGTGCGTTGCCGGCCTTTGAGGAAGGAGTACAGTCGAATTTTGAATAGTTGGAAGTCGTATCTCTCAGGGAAGACCCCCACCGGGAGTCGATTCCACAGTTCGCTAGTTCGCAAAAGAAAATGCCTTGAAATTAATTTAGCCTTCCGGGCTCATAATGTGTAATTTTAAGTCCTTTAAAATTTATTAAATATAGTTATTCTACAAATTTTTGTACGTAATCTATTAAATAATTTCACAATACAATGCTAAAATTACTTAAAATGCGTAAAAACTTTTTTGTACATAATCAGATTAATTAATTAACCCCTAATTATCGCCTTCGATCTACTATGAAGAGTGTCATCTTAGAGATAAAACACGTGGGATAGTATTACTGCAAATATTACATAATATTAACGTGCCCGATACATGATCTTAGATTAAATAAAGTTTCTGTAAAATTATGCATTTGTTCTTAATAATAGTGAGGGAAGCATGGCTCTATGCTTATTGAAAGTTATTGTTTTTGAATTGTTTATAAGTCAAGTGAGTTGTTATTCTATTGTTAAGAAATGTGGTGGAAATGTATAGTGTATATATGAGCCCTTTGTTATTAATTAATTTCATTCTCTTATTTTGCTTTACATACCGACTTTGTATTCATTTTTAAACACATATAATCCGATATATTTTACTTAAATAACTTAATGTTTCTTCGTAGACCGTTAAAAGCCTTTTCTAACTAGTTCTACGCAACGACTTAGTCAATAAACAAAACAGTTGTTATGTTTTAAGAATGGTAAAATAAAATTATATTATCTTTACAGGTCCTATCCTCCTACATATATCAATATCCAGGCGCACCGTATTACCCACAATCGTATCCAGCTTATCCCAAACAACAACCACCTGTACAACCTCAATCGTATCCTAATTATCAACCGTCTGCAAGCTATGTTTATCCTAGACAAGAATTTCAGCCAGCCTATCACAACCCAACTAAACAAAATTTCGCGTATACAAGTCAATCACCAAAACCAAATATAGTTCATCCAGAAGCAAAGCCATGTCCAAAGTCTCACCCAATTCCAGATATTCCTCGGGTTATAGAAGAAAAACGTAAACCTGGTCTAGATCCGAATGTTTTAAATAACTTAGCGATTGCTCTACAACTTTTGATTGTCAATAACATTATCAGTAATCCGCCAGAAATTACAGACGCTTTCAAATCACCTGATAAACATGATTGTTATAAATCTGAACTATATAAAATACAGGAGCAATTAAATAAGCTTTCCGATACTAATTGCAAAAGGGAGTACTCGGATAAAACGCCGTTTCAATCATTGTTTGAAGCAAATGCGTTAGAGTTGCAGCGCGCTTTGCCAAATGCAAAATTTTTGGGTGAAGCGGGAATAATGGATAATTATTCATTTCCTAAATCGCTTCCTCCGAGGACATGTGGTTTAATGTCTCCATATGAAGCTATTAATTCTAATTCGTTTGAAGCCTCACCATTTACGCAAAATGATTTTCAAAGCCCTTATTCTGCTATGATGGCGTTTGATAATAACAAAGATTTATTTTCTATGGCCGACTTATTCTAAATATGTCAGAATCACAATACCTTAAATCTAAAGTTACAAAGGGTTATCTCGTCATTAAGTATTTTGTTAACTAATTTATTTTTTGAAAATAAAAATTTAGTTTTTAATTTCTGTTTTATTACACGTCTAAATGGACCGCTTGAATTTTATTTAATCCTTTTAGTTGTAACTATCGACTATGATTATTTAAATTGTAATATTATAATACTCTTTGAAGATAGCAAATGTTAAGCAAATGTTTTTATTAGAACTTGATGATATTAAATTTTAATAAAGTTACGTGTTTAAGTTTTACGAAATTATTTTTATCTATTGTTGCTTAATTAACTAATTGCAACGTATATAAGTTCAATATATATGTCAGTGGTACAGTTATTAAAAGTAATCCTTAAAATGGGGTCAAAATTATTGTTTGCCCTTTGCGCTGCCTTTTTTTGTAAGGTATGTTATTCTTATTGCTAACAATTATAAACAGAAGGAACTGGATTACATTAATATTATTAATTTATTTAAAGAGCACTAGAGTGCTAAAGATGCAGTTAATTTGTATTAAATTTATTTGACAGGTACAATCTCAAGCATGTGGGTATCCACCAATGGGTCCTCAAATTATGTCACCCCCACTAATGGCAACTCAACAAGTAGTAGCTCCTCCAGTATGCGCTACTACCATCGTGGATAACTCCGTATCAAACGCCCTGGCTAATGCTTTACAACTTTTAATTGTCAGTGATTTAATTGAATCCAAATTGGGACCAGTCTTGGGTAACGGAAATGCATTTAACACATTAGGACCAATACTTGAAACTATTTCAACGCCTTGTGGATCAGCATTGGAAATAATATCTCATATTCAAGAATTATCACCTTGCGGTACCACCTTAGAGTTCATACAACCTCGCGGTTCATCGATAGTCGAAACTATACAGCCTGATATGTTCGGAGGTTATACTGAAACATTTGCACCATTCTACGGCCCATCTGGACCAATTGTTGAAACGTTACAGCCTAACATCTGTGGCGGTATAACAGAAACATTCTCACCGTACAGAAGTGGACCAATAGTTGAAAAGATTCAGCCCAATATTTTCGGAGGTGTAACTGAAACGATTTCTTCGCGGTACGGACCTCAAATCGTTGAACAATTCATTCCAAATCCATATGGTTACACTGAATCAGTTGGTGCTAACTTCTGCGGCGTTAACGAATTGAATCCATTCTACAATGGTTTGACCGAAATCGTTTCTTCTTCTTGCGCTTTACCTTCACCAGTGATCACTCCCAGTTATTATGAAAGAGTATCTGAAATAGTACCTCCTACAGCTCAGTTTCTACCAAATTATTACGGCGGTGTTACAGAAATTATGACACCCCCAATGGCTGCAGAAGTCTTATTTCCGTCATCAATACCAGCACAGCTGTCGTGTAACTTTGGGTACAATTTACCTTCAAATACCCCTTGTGTCAATGTAAATGTTGAAACATTGCCTTTTGAACCGTGTGGTTGTAAATCATGCTCAAAGGGTTATTATTATTAAGTACGCGTTAAATATGAAAATAAATAATTATTGTTACCATTATATACTTTGTTTTATTTATCAATGTTTTAGTGTCGTAGTAGGTAGTAGAAAATTCTCATCGAATTAAATAGAGCACAGTTATTAAACAATTTATTATAATAATTTAGCTGTCAACAATAAATACTTAAACTAATGATATTCGCGCTTAATTACTAAACATACCCAGCATATTAAATAAACTGTGTTTCGGGCATGTGTTGACTGGGGCTGAGTTAAATGTTGGAGCTCTAGCAATATTAGTTCCTATATTGGGAACCTGATTCTGAAAAAGAGGGTTTTGGCAACCACAAGAAAATGATGGTGATGATATGACGTCATTTATGAGCGGGGATGCTAATTGTAATGCTAAATCAGAACCACCCTTATGACGTTGTAATAAATTACAGACGATCATCAGCTGTAAAGCATTTGCTAGGTTTTTGCAAACTGTTGGTGAACAGTCAGTCACAATAGTAGTAGACGGCGCAGATAATATTTTTGGCGGCAACGGTGTCAATTGTTTATAGTCTATGGCTGAGTATGGCATTTTCATTGGGGGAGATATGAAGTTGCGGGGTACCTCTATAATTGTCTCCGGTATTCGATTCATCAAAAAGTTTTGGGGTTGGCGGCTTTGAGTTCTTGCAAGCTAAAAAAAAATTATAAATAAGGTTTCATACGTCTTAGAAAAACAGTCTATTTAAATTCAGTTTTTTTTAATCCTTATAAATTTGTGTTTTAATTAAAATCTATTAATTTATTTTAATAAAATATATGATGAAGGCAGTAGGTACCTGTTTTTAAAAAACGAGGAGAAATCATTTAGGTCTCTATATATGTATATACATTTCGTTTTCAACTATCCTTAATCATAGATTAATATCTAATCTATCTCTATAATTAAAGACCACAGCAGATGGTCAGGAACAAGCTCTCGAAATACTTAATCTACTAGATATTTAACAAAAAACACAAAAATATTACCTTTAAACTAATAGCAACGATACTGAATGCTATAATAGCTTTCATATTGAAATAATTACCGAAGAAGTTCTATAATAAAACAGTCTTCTTGAAAAATACACCTGTTATAAAATAATTTATGCAAACATTTATATTTATTGATTTGTTATCTGTCAGTCGTGATCTATCTAAATTATTTCATGTATTGTTAGAATACTTTATCAGATTTCAAGAAGTTGGCTAATATATACACCGTTATAATAGTTTTATTTTTACGTACAAATTTAATATTAAAGTCATGAAATATACGTTTACTTGAGACTATTTTTGATTAGATCAGAATCATTAAAATATCTCTAGAAATCAAAAATACGCTTGACAAAAGAATCTCTATTTGCAATATAATGAAAGATCTCAATTGGTGATGTTGTCAGATGTGTTTTCAGCAATACAATACAATTACACACAATATCCTTCCTCTATCAGTATTAAAGACGCTCGATCCGTAACAGAAAGAAATTGGCCTCGTGAAGTAGCATTTTTGTATTAATAACAAAAAATGAGTTATTGGAGCGTTTCAAAGATAAATGACGGATATAAACGCCCCAGTTGAAGAAGAAAGTGCTGTTTCATTAAACAATATAGGTACCGTGTCTCAAATCAATGAAAACGATGGCAAAATTCCATAAATTGGGCTTCGAATTACACCCAATGTGCGGGATTCTCCCGATTTGGCCCCCAGTGACTTTTTCCTGTTGTCAGACCTCAAGTGAATGCTGAAACTGAAGATAAAAGGAAGATAAATCGTACTGTAAAAAAGGTGTCGAAATTTTATGACCGCTATAATCGTTGTATTGTTCTCGAAGGAATATTGAATAAGCCTATGAATATTTCAACCCACCTATTATGTAATTGTGACTAACTTAAATGTGTTGCATTGTTTCTACGAATATATACATTAAATGCAATTTATGTTTGTAAATAGTTGATTATTCGGAGATAAGACGCGTATTATATACGTGTAACGAAACCCTATCCATCCTTATTATTAATAATTACATTAAATTTTGTGTCTTAAAATTTTTCTATAAAATTGTATCTGTATGTTCTTAATATTTTCATTTTTATCTATATTTAATTGAACAATCGCCAATTATGATGACTAAATCAATCGTTTTTATTGTGTTAGTCACGTTTGCAAATGTAAGAATGTTTTCCGTAATTATTAAGAAAATAATAGTTTTAAATAACTTTCATGTATGTGGTTTTTTTAAAGATGTAGGCGATGTAGGCAAGGGATCACGTGACTTAGAGAACTTTCAAAACAAGTTCAGGATTTTACAATGACAAAGCAAAGAAACATTCTTCTTACACTTTAAGAACTACTGAAAATAAAAATAATACTGCTTTTTTGCGCTATCTGACCGTTACCGTACTAGAGAAATCCAATTTCATTATAAACATTAATAGTAGGTATATCTTTTATATATTGGAATTTCGGGCAGGCTGGGGTCTTACCACCAGATCTACATATAATTTTTTGTATCAAATTCCACTATCTCATGAAACTGTAATATTTGGTTATAGCTAAAAGAAGCAAATTTTTTCACTAAAATAAATATATAACAATGATATATTTTTACTTACAGTTTGTCTCCCCAAGAGCACGCCGACATTATCGACAGAGATTTCAGCTAGCGCCTCGTTACATGCCTGGATTACAACCATTATATGCTGAACAAACCATACATTCAAGTCCCTGTGAATCGAAGCAATCAAACGTTACGCCAGATAGAGCTTTCAACATTGAGACACACGAAAATCCTGACGGACGGCTAATTTTGCCCCCACGAGGCATTCAGCTACCTTTTGGGTTAGGATATTCTTCTGCTGCTATTTCCGCCGTCGCTGAGGCTTATAACGTAAACAATAGAAGTTCAACTTTCAGAAGCCTTGATACCTGTTTCACCAGAATTCGCTTGTATAAAAATAGCAACTCCTTTTTGTAGCGAACGAGGATATCCTGTGAGGTCAATTGTTTTGTAATAAAAATAAATTAATAAAATGTATTTTATTCCAGATTTAAATAAAAATAAATAAAACATAATTGTTACGAAATTATCTTATTTTTATTTAGGAATTTGGCAAGGAAACCGGAGAATGGAAATTATAAACTTTTGTGTTTCCTCGGTTTTCTCTTCTCTTAATTTTTAATTAGTAAAGAAATTGTTGTTGTACCATTTCAGATTACATAACAATACAAATTGTTGTGTTTAACTCTGTTAAGGCTTAAAAAATTCACATTAAACCTTTATAATTTTAAGAACCCGCCAAAACGCTGGAAACATTATGTACAAGCTACGACATCGTCGATTTGACTGCATGCCAGTTTATACAGATTACTCTCAATAACACTTTTTTTTTCTTATAGCTTGTTGTTGTTTTAGATATTTTTATATTCGATCAGTAGACAGCAGCAGTAGTGGGGGTAGGCTAAAGTTTTTTGTATGCCCATTGTCACGTGTTGAATTCATAAAAAATAATTTTGTTTTTGTGAATACTTATGAATATTTCAAATTTCAATTCTATTTGTAGATTTTCTTTATTTTTTAATAGTTTGTCAGATCGTATAATTGCATGCAAAATACAAATTCCGTTTCACTTATTTAAATGTCAAACCGGACCGAGTTGGATCTCAAGCATATATTTTACGCCCACAACAATTAGTTACATTCAATGTTATGTTATATCTAACAGCTTTGTGTATGTTATTTTTTAAAAGCGATACATTATTATGTATGTATCCTTTGTATATTGTGTATATTACATTACTATTATAAAGAAATATTGCTTGCTTTACAAATATGTCGTCAAAATGATAAATATTTTCTTGTATTTCTCTTGTGTAAATAAGATTAAATTTTGTATAATTTTTAAGTCGGATATAATATAATAGTAACGATGAAGCCTGTTTAATTTCAATCAATTGTTAACAATATACAATTTACATTTATTTTATTTTTCACTCATTACTCGTTGTGGTAACTTTTTTCAGTATCATTGATTGGAACTCCTTCTCGGGTAAAGATCTCCAGTTTTTTCCAAAATCCATGGCTTTCTTTCTCAATTCTTTATCACTTTTATATCTTCTATCTTCTTTTTTAAGATATAATATAGAAAGACGCAACTGGCAACCCTGTAAATATTACTATAATATTATTATGTGATCTGTAATCTGTATTCTGTGGAGCCAGGAACCGAGGACGAAAGGTTGAGAGATTAAAAAACTTTGCAAGTTGTTTTGTATATTTTTCCTTTTTTATATAAAACAAAGTTTTGGTTCACAATGGTTGAAGCCCAGAAGTATAGAATTGAACAAGAAATGACCAATATGGTCAATGAATTAGACCGGAGTCATTTGAGAAAAATGCAGGTTTGTTTTAGGTTAAATCTTATAATTTCATATTATGCAACATTTCTAAAATGATATATTAAGTTTATATTCAAATTAAGTAGAAGTATACTATGTAATTTAATGCCCATGTTTTATTTGACAGAAGCAAATGTACAGTACTTAAGTTTTTAAATTAGTTTAAAACAATGACCTAAGATTTTTATTCTTTTAACATTCATTAAAGTTTTATCAGAAGAACTGGTAGTTCAAGCTAAAACAATATTTAATCTATTATTTAAACATTTCAGGGTGATATGCACAGATGTGCTGCAAGATGTTGTGATGACCCAAATTCCTCATTAGAAAGAGTCCATGGCTGTATAGAAAACTGTACATCATCACTCAATCAAGCTAATAATTATGTTCAGGTGAACATTACAATAATTTATTCTAGGAAAAAAGTGTATTGGCAACATTTGTGCTTGGTTATACAATTATTTTATTTTTTTTAGAATGAAATCAATGTCCTACAAAACCGACTCCAGAGGTGCGTTATGGACTGCAATGATTCTGCAAGAGATAGACTTGGGCCAGATCCAAGCCAGGAAACGGTGAATAGTTATACTAAGCCCTTAAATAAAATATGGTTCAATACTCTGAATCTCTTTCTATATTTTAAAATATTTTACTAGGAAAACACTTATTAAAAAAAACATTCTGTAAATTTCTGGATATTGATTTGTAATGTAAGTTAGGTATTGAATGATATTGGGTGTGTTGCTCTTTTATACTTTATTATACATAGGAATTATTTTCATATTGTCAATCTGAGATTCATCAATTAGTATTTCAAATAAAACCAAAGAAATTAGTAGTTAAAAATAGGATAGGATACAATAGATAAGTATATTTTTAATGCTTTTGTTTGTTTTACAGATTGACAAATGCACAATAGATTTCGAGAAATGTGCAGTGAAATGTGTTGACAAGCACATAGGTTTGATTCCAAGCATGTTGAAAACAATGAGAAAAGTACTGGCGAGTGGGAAACCTCCCCCAGCTAGATCTGAATAAAAATATTTGTATGTAGTGTATAAAGAGTATAGCAGATACACTTTGACAAGGCATCAGGTTTACTTTTACATAATAATTTGTTAGCATTTCTGCCACAGTTCAACTTGGATGAAAAATCTTAATATAAAGAATGTCACTTACATTTTCAATTACTCGATTCCATGTTGAATAAGTTGCTTTGTGTTCTTCTGTCTGAATTATAAATCATAACCAATGTAATCAACTCCAAAATCTTTACAAGTTCAATGGCCACTGCGTTCTACCTCTAACAAAAAATATTGCATTTATTTTATACTTATGTTGCCCAGGTTAAGTTAAGAGTTACATATAAAATCTATGTAGAACTTGATAAAAATAAAACAATGTTCAGCATATTTTGAACAAAGCGGCTGTACCTCTAATGTACTATGTTGTACAGGATTTTGAATATTTAAAACTAAGTTCCTCTTGGTCTACTAAGCTTGCCTTTACACACATATTTTTCTGTATGTACTATGTAACTTACTGTTTTGTAACCTTAATAGAAAAAGTGTTTCAAAAAAACCGAAATCATAATTGTTACTGTAAACATTTTGTAAATATATGTTTGTTTAGTTTAGAAATATATGTTTTATTTCAAATATTTTCTTTTTCATTTAGGAGCTGTAATAAAATAAACCCATTTTCGTATTCGGTATTTGTAAAATAATGTTACTTATATTCATACTGCACAATTAGTAGCCTTTATAAAAAACATTTATTTTAAGTCTACTTAAATTTTTATGTTAATTGATTTTAAAATCTTAAAGTTACCACTACCATCAATTTAAATGTCAATTAACATATCATTAATATGTAATTGACATACTCATACTGGTTTCACCCTTTGGTATACATTATAAAGATTCAATTAGTTATTTTGGCGCGCTTCGCTTGGCACTTTATTTTACATTTTAAGTATTGTCTATTTTGTTGTTTATAGTTATTATTTCTGGTTAGAACCACATCACAATGTGGACGATTTGCATTCGATTATTGAAACGTATTGCTTTCTTTTTTGTAGTAAAAGAAGCTGGGACGGCATACGCAAGAAAAGGTAAACTTAAACTTACGTATTTTTAGCATATTTTAAAAAATTACAGCTGATAGATATCCTGTGGTGGTGACACGAAACCGCGCTAAACGTTTAAGATTTATAAACAGATCTGCCCTAAGTTTCATATTTGACTTCTATTTTCGGAGGATTATCAAAGAGCCTGCTAGTTTTCCAAGTAGTGAATTTCATTTAAGTATCTCTTACTTAATGTATTGTTTCAATTTTGTATATAAAGTGAAAATTAAATAGTTTTTGTGTTAATTAGCCATTTGAAACATGCATTCCACTATTTCTATTGTTTTACTTATCTTTGGATATTATAATGTAAGTAAATTCCTTTTTTACTACTTTCAGTCTATGTATTTTTATTATTAAGTTCCCTTTCTTACTGTTACCGTAGTTATTTTGATAGAAGACGCTACTTTCTTATTTTTCTGTAAAAAAAACAAAAACAAAATACAGAACTAAAGTGTTTGATACACCCTTTTTTCTTAACTTTCAAATCTTGTTTAGTAGTGTAATTGATTTTATGATTGTCCATAGGTAAAATTATGGCTCTTAATTATTATAATTAGCTCTGTGTTCAACTTCGTTAAGAAATAAGAGAGTTATAGTCAATATGAAACGAAAATCCATCATGTATCCTTCGTGCATCAAGCATCATGCAACATTTAAATAGAACTTAAAAATTAAACAAACTACAATACTAATAAAATATATAAAAACTTAAGAAATATATCATCTTTGTAGCACGTCCAAGCCACACTCCCAGGCGCTGCGTTCATAGGATATGGATATGAAATGCCAGACTATCAAATGGGTTTCCAGCCACGAAATACTTTCTACGTGATAAACGAACCATTTTATGAATTATCAAGTGCCTACTCCGAACAAAGGCCATACGAACATGTCACATCTGATACCTGTAATTTGAATATTGTATCTCCTTTATGTGGATGTCAATATCCGCTCACCGAAACCGGATTTCCGCCTTTTATCATCTACGGAGATGAAGCTACGAATGTACCGGGTTGTGGTAAATACTTGAGACAAGTTACGCTACAGCCGCCGTATCTCTAGTGAATTAAACGTGTTTGTTCAATAAAGTTTCTACTATTTCTATTTTGTAATTATTTAAGAAAATGCAAATAAGCGGCAACTTAAACTAGCCTAAGGTCAGACCACCACTCTAGGGTTGCCCATTGATGCGAGTTCGTCGCCGTTAAATTGTTTATATCTTTTGTTTATGTATTATATGTACAGTATGTAACCACCCTTTCCGTCCCCCATATAACACTGTATTTCCCCGCTATAACGCGGATATTTCTCTTGTACTGTGAAATTTATAATGATTTGTCAAGTCCATAATAATTAGTTTTGTGTACCTTTGCACCTGTTTCAATAGTGTTGTTATAAAATAAAACTAAATAACTTTATTAACTTCGTGTTCGTAGTTTAATAATTGTTCAAAAAAACGGGTGTACGAGAATACTCCTGTGGAAGTATTGCCAACAGCGCAATTGAAATTTAAAATATTTTAAACCTATTCACGTTAACTAAGTTATAGGAATATGTGTGGGTCTTGTATACACTTATAGATCTTAATGTTTAGCATATTAGAATAAGATTGTCTAAAAACATTATCTGCACTCTTTATATTTATGTTTATGAACCAGACATCTTAACGCCTAAACCTGTTTAAATTTTTTTATATTTCCCGCTCGTAGTAATTAAATTATCCTTTATTAAATGATGATAAGATTGATTTTTTAATTTCCGGTTTAAAACTTAACGTTACTGATAGGAATCTACTACTAATCAAAAGTCATTTAATTATTGATTATATTTTAATAAATACCTCACATATTTCTACAATAATTTACAATATCACTAAAAATAGTTGTTTTATTCGACCGCTAGGGTCGATTGTTCCTGATATTTTTTTACAACGTGGGAGGTGGTATAGGAATCTTCCTCAAGAAGTGGTTTCTCGACTGGCTTGGAATTACTGGTGGCAGCAGGCCATTAGACGGAGACCATGCGGAGACGGGTGAAGCCACCGGTAGGAATGGGCTTGTGAAAGATGAACATTGTTCCTGGATCGGCACCGGATATGGCACGGGCACTCGTATTACTTCCGGTTCCCTTTGACATGGAAGATTTGGTTTAAGATTTTGTACCAAATTTGGCGCCATATTTTGTACTAAATTTGGTCCCATATTTTGTACTAAATTTGGTGCCATGTTTTGTACTAAATTTGGTGCCATTTCGATAATATTTTGTTGGCATGGTCGGTTAGGCACTAATTTAGGGCTGCTTACACAACCCTGTACTTCTGGCTTTTTCAATTGCATCATCTGCACTGCTCTCTCTTTGTTACCAGCTGATATTATGTTTTGTAAAGACAGTACAGGTCTTTGATTTTGAGATCGGCTCTGTCTTGCGCCTGAGTAGTGTATTGCAACTAAAATTGAAAATATTACGAGCTTCATTTTTATCTGAAACAAGAATACAAATAGGTTACAATAGAATTATTAAAAAAGTTAGATTTCAGAAACATAAAACAGTGTCTTTTTGCATTCATTTGTTACTATTTCAATGATAAAATTTTTGTAAATACGCATTATCTGCATTTAAATATATAACGGTAATTTAAATATAAATTACCGCCATTTTTCATGATCTTTGCTAAAAATATTTACCAAGAACTTGAAATATAGTTATCATGCTAAAATAACACATACCTTTTTGAGTGTTAAAACGCCTTAGATTATTTTAAACTAAACAGGGGCATTTTATTAATTGTTTTATCGTAACACTTTATCGCAAAATATTGAAACAATAGAACTTTTCAACGATAGTAGATGTTAATCTACTATCGTTGAAAAGTTCTATTGTATCATATCATAACTGATATGATTTTGACACCCTTTCTGTAATTAATCAGTAATAAAAAACATTTACGCTACGTTTAAGATATTGCATGCCTATGATTATTATAACTGTTTTTATTTTATATTCCCATTTTAATTTTACAAAATTTTAATTAAATTTATCCATGATTGATTGATTTATTTTATATCGTATACAATTACTAAGTATTTTTTTTAACTTCTATATCTGTAACGATATCGTGTGTAATATTTTAAATATTTTCTATTTTTTTATTAGTAATAGAAACCCTTTTACAAAACATATTATGAAAACCTAGTTCTATAGATAAGAAATATAATACTTATATGGATGCTCCACTTTTAAGTAAGTATTCGAGTTTGGCAAAATGTTGGTTCTCATTTCAATATTGCCAATTTTATCCTGTGTAAGTTATTTACTGTTTTAAAATTCTGTTTATTATTTTTGAACATAAGATCGAAAATTTGATGAATATAAAAAAATCAATGCTCTTTAGACACAGAATATCTATATAATGTATTTTTATGTGTATACAATGGTAATCAGGATATTTTAACATCATTAATAACTACCTACTCCCCTTTACGAGACTACTTTGTCCAACGGCGGAGAAAGTCAATATAATTGAATTTTAGTTAATTTTATGATAAATCTTTTGCCATCTCTTCTCTACTTGTTCCAGCTTATTGTTCACGGTAGACCACAGTAGTTAATTTTATTATAGATAGTTAATTACTTATTGGTAAAGTTTACGTACGTCTTTAACTTTCAAAATTAGATGACCGTAAACGCAGCCTAAAGCTAAATCTGAAAACTACCGGTGTTCACCCATACCATAATTAACATTATAATAAGACACAATTTTTCATCATATATTTAAATAAGCTGTGCCAATCGTTAAATTAGCCGTTGACGAGTTTAATGTTTCAACTTTCATAGCCGATTATATCGTTCCTTAGATATCAAGTTTGTTAGTCATAAGACGATACTTTAATATATATTTGAATGATACGTTTCAAGTGGTTTACTTTAATAATGTTTTGATTAAATGTAAATACGTAAAGATTTATACTATTAAATACTTATTGCAGGTCACCGCGCAGTGTTTGCGACCAACTGTATTATGTGACCAGCCAAAGCTCTCCCCATGTGCACCTTCATTATTAATTGAACCAGAATACACAGCACTGGGATGTCTACAGCCAACAATTACCCCCTATGGAACGTTAAGCGAAGTGCCACTCTTTCCCCTTTTGGCCAATCCAGAAGTGCCGCTATCGATGTTGCCAGCTGCGTCTCCAATTTCGGCTTTGATACACCCATTTTCATGCATATACCCCCCTGCCCTGCCTTGTAATTGTGGTAGCCATTTTCTTAAGAAAATTCCTATTCCACCACCGTTTATATAAACTTTTATTAAATTAACTTTATTAAAATTAGAAAAATCCTTTTAATTTCACGCAAGGAATATCTAATTTAAATTATAAATATATATTATTTATAAAAGTTTAATAAGTGTTAGATTTACAATACCTATTATTTGTTGTCATGTACATTTAACATTGACATAATTACCTACTTTTAATTAATATTATTAAATGTATTAAGCAAGTAAAAGTACTGCTGCCAAGTCGACAAGGTTTTATAATACCGTACGTCATAAAACAATACATAAGGAGGTCATAGTTCTGAACCATACATTAATGTATGACAACGAGGCGTGGTGGGTCCGACTCCTTTGCTTAAATAGCCCGGACCGTTTTTTACATACAGTTACAGACATAGGATTCATAAAATTTATAGCCATATTTAATTATTAAATACGAAAATATAAGTCAATGTTGTAAATATTATAGAGCAGTTGTGGCCTAGTGGCTTCAGCGTGCGAATCTCATCCCTGAGGTCGTAGGTTCGACCCCCTGCACCAATGGACTTTCTGTCTATGTGCGCATGTAACATTCGCTCTAACGGGGAAGAAAACCATGTGACGGCGTGTGTCAGGCACAATCGGCTGATCTACTATTTGCCTTATTATATTGACAAATGATCTTGAAACAGATACAAAAATCTGAGGCCCAGACCTAGAAAAATGGTATGATACAATATTGTTCGTGACTTTGTCAATATACATATTAAAATCCCGACATTTCTTTTTTAATATTCGTGTATATAATCTACGTAACCAACGCATGGTTTCACCTGGGATCCGACCCTATTGCATCAGTCATCAAGCTTTGATGATGTCAAATGATAATAATATGTTCTGGTTCTAAATGCCGAAGCCTACCATCACCCCATGACCTGACAGATTCATTTCTGTGCTCGTTTCATTTATATTCAGAACGCTACGCTGTGTGCGTTAAGCTCGCGGGAATAGGAACTTCCAAGAATATAAAATACTGTTCATTACTTCGAAAGATTAATTAAGCAATTATTTTTATCTTAAAACAATAACGATTTTCTCTTAAGTTATGTAAGAGATAATAGAGAGATAGATGGTGTCGCGTGTGATAATATTCTGTACTTAAGCGAACCGCATTTATTTTGCAATTATTTATTTATTGCTCTTACATTCAGTATCATGTCTACGGGAATTTTTATCTGCTTAACAGTTTTAGTTATACAAGTAAGTGTTATTGGAGAATTGATATTAATTTGTTAATGCCGTTACAGAGGCTGTAATCAGGATGATTATATATTAATTGTATCCGGTTTTAAATAAATAACGAATCAGACGTAAATTAATCTGCTCTGCTTTTTATCTATGTTACGTGTTTGGGGTCAATAAAAATATTTCATTCAATAGTAAAATCAATAACCCTGATATATTAAATTCATCACGTTTAATGGTGTACATAAAAGCACTCCACGGTGTGCGATTACATAATCTCTTATATATATTGGCCTTTTAAAGGAGTGCGTTAATTATGTGCTATTTGTTTCCGACGAAACAAGATATAAACTTTTACTATAAAAAGTAAGATACCGTATCATAAAAACTACCGGACTGATGACAAAAATTCAACATTCTTATTCAATATTCTAGAATAATCTTTCTTAATGTCAATTTTAATGATTTTATTTCAGAACGTAACAGCCCAATTTAGAGTCCCAGAACTACCATCACAGACATTACCAACATTACAGAATCATAACTTACAAAATATTTGGTCATTGGGGTCTCTGTCATCTCTAACACCTAGAATGAAGTTAGTGTCGCAACGTCATCAGTATATCATTAAAAAACCCCAAAAGAAAATTAATAAGCGCCAGTTAATGGCTGAATTATTCAAGCAATCGGCCATTAAAAATATACAAGATGCTGCCAGTATTTGTAATAGAGAAAAGAAATCGGTAAATTTGAATAATATTGTTGGCAACATTCCTTTGATTGGAAACGATGCCGGCCTCAATACTAATGTATATAATTTCAAATACTTATAATTATTTATTAACTTATTTATTAAAATAAATCTAATACTTGTGTCATATTATTTTAATATTTTTTACTTATCGTGTCTATTAAAGCATTAGTTAATTTAATGACTTTTTTATTGAGGATTTTTAAACCTTTATCAATAAACCTTAGAAGCCTTAAATAACCTTTGAGTGATTTAGTCAATAAAGAATGCTTAACATGAAAAAAGTCTGATTTGTTTTAACCTATTATGTTTAATTATGAATCTCTCGTGTATTATATATTATAGCTATAGAAATCCTACTAATATTATAAACGCGAAAGTTTGTAAGTATGGATGGATATTTCCTACTCTTTCACGTAAAAACTACTGAATGGATTGTAATGAAACTTCACAATAATATAACTAATATATCAGAATAACACATAGGCTACAATTTATAAAGATATTGTGTGAATTGTCCATTATATCAAGTAAGTAGGAAAAAATAAACCATCTGCGAGCTATTCTGGCGTGCGTTCCCAAATCCGCTAGAGTTACACATATTATGTAATGTATAATGGAAATATTTATCTTAAATAATCAATATCTTTAGTAGCTTATTTCTACGCCACACTAATATAAGCTACTCGAAATACTTATCCTGCGCACACGGAGTCGCGGGCACCAGCTAGTTATAAATACATCTTGTGTGAAGATTTATTTTATTATATTGTAGCGTTGTATTAAAATACAAATAGATTTTCAAAGGTTTTTTGATTAGACATGAAAATGGCATAAATCAATCATGCATATGAGTTATATGCTATATCCATAAAGCTGCCAGCGGGTTACAGAGAACTGTAACTTAATTTTTTTGTACCATGAAATTCCAAGTTGTTAACGCCACGAATATTTCAACGTTGGATAACGTCATAGTTATGCAGACGACTTTGTTAGATCACTACTTATTTGAAATCTGCCCTGCGATTCTGTAACTCACTTTTCGAACTCACACAGCGGTTTTCGCATCGGCGGTTGCTCTTAAATCAGTCGTGAAGCAGTCATTTTATATTTGGCATTCTGATAAACAATAAACTACAAGCTCCCACCTTTTCAGTTTACAAAGTACCCTTGCAGAACAAATTTGACCAACCAAATGCTAGACTTGTTCTATCACAAATACTTAATCTATAACAAGTATTTTACCTAAGATTAACCACGTCCAAGATAACGATTACATATATATTACGTATTATATGAAATTATCATCAGTCATATAAAATGTGTCTCAACAAAGTATTGGTAATATTACACATATTTTTCGTACAGGTAATGTTGTAACATATATGTGAAATACGTATAATATGTTGCGTGATATTTACTATGTTTTTTACTTCCAGAATGTTGTGACGCAATCACTGCAAAATTGGCCAAATTTTTCATTCAGAAGACCAACATATCCTTTATACCAGAGTTCTTTAGTACCTATGGCTACAAAAGGTATACAAAAGGCGATACAGGATAACTTAATGCTGTCAAATGGATCACCATTCCCCTCAATACCATTCAACGGCTCACCATTCTCCAATACATTACAGTCTGGGCTAGGCTGGCCAACCTTCTCAAGAAATGATATACCAATTATAAGTCGCATGCCTTACGAATATAAACCTGATATTTCTGGCCTTTACAGTGTAAATCAGGGCATGGGTAGGCCAGGCCCTTTGAGTCCTCTGCATACTTTGACCTTAAATAGTCTTCTAGCTAATATACCGTATAGTAGCATAGGTTTTATTGACGAACAGACACATCTAGCGGGTTTTTCTTTACCATCAACATATATAGTGATAAAAAATCCAATCGTACAAACAAACAGTCTAGGAAATAGCTATCCAATAAACAACAGACAATTTGGTTTAAATAGTTTTGCGAGGCAAAATTCTTTAATACCATACTTTTAATGTATAATTTTAAGTTATTTAATTTACAAATGTTATTTTTGTTACTTTAAATTGTTTTGTTTGATTGAATTGAATTGATATCTTTTAATTTTATAAAATATAATATTATGATATTTAAATTTTTGTACATTTATACAGTTAATACTAAATGTAGAGACAATTCACACTTTAATATTCATTGTCTCTAAACTAATATGACGGTCCTCAAATCAAGAATGGACGAGAATTGCCAAGAAACTCCGACACTTATTTTAATCGAACGCAGTACGTAACATTTAACTGCGTTTTGCTTTTGAATGTATACGCCGGCGCAGACGCCTTGTATTACACGTTTACACCGTTGGATTACACGCCATCTTGGGCGTTTCAAGATTTTGTATAAATCTTATGTTACCAATCATGAAAATATAACAAAACAATTTTAACTTATATGATGTGTATGTGACTCAATTTAAACAAAAATATTGTTACGATGCCTAAATCATCTATTAGTTTCAAGCCCCGTAAAAGCGAAATGGGAAACATTTTTGGATAAAAACAACCTTTAGGGAATAGAATGACATTAACTCTATTTTTATATAAATTCGTTTGACGTTAGTGGGTCACGCCTGCCGAAAAGTGATTTTGTCTCAAGCCCATGGCCTCGATTCCCTAAAGATTATTTACGAGGCACAAAAGACTGTTCTACACAAAAATGTTTCCCATTGGAAATTGCTATTACAACGTTGGACTTGAAACTAAAGCTGATAGACTGTTACAGGATTTATATTAATCGTCACGATTTCAATGTTTAAATTAAGAATAAATGATTAATTTAAGATTCTCCACTTATATTTTCATTATTTATATGATTGTTTCTTAAAAAACCTTAGTGACATGCAAGTCATAGGAGCACAGCATAATCGACGTACAATAGGGTTAAATTTTATAGTTTTTGTATAATTATTTTTCCGTTAAACTGGTTTGTTTGGGATACAAATTGATTTCCAAATTAGTTTTTGTAACTAAAGTAAGGCTTATGTTCATAACAAATTACACAAACATCGATCAATAATAATTTATTTACAATAATCTCAACAACTAATTACTAAAATATTGACTGGCACATTTCGATACTACGTCCATGACTTGATTGCCAAAGGATTCAGCAACCATCGCTGTGCCGGACGAAGGCACATTGCCATCCACAGCAACCATACCATACACGGGAAAACATCCAGATACTTTTATAGTCCCACCGATAGGCAACTCGCCAGCCATATTGACATCACCATACTGTAAGGAAGGCACCACCTCCGATATAACAGGCGATACTTGGATGTTATTAATTGCTGGATTTTGCATACCATGAACTAAATTACTAGCTGGATTTGCTAGTAAGTTGTTCCCGTAATTATTTCCGTTATAGCCTACATACATATCGTTTATACCTTCATTTACTATTGGACTATAACTGTTTTGCGGATATGGCATTATACCATCATTCATACCATATGGTAGGTAACCATTTCCTGCAGGCATTCCAAGGGATTCCTGAAAAAAAAATGAAAATTATTTCCTAATTAATAATTAAACGTACTAGAGTCGTAACGGTACGGGTATATACCACTTACCAGCCTTAAATAAATTCACCACAGATGTAAATAAAAGCAAAATAGGTTTAGGCCCTATGCTTCTTTAATCTGTGGTGATCTAGCCGGGGTTAAAATTTCGAACCAGAGCTACACCGGTGTTTCGATATATTAATAAATCAACTATTAGTAATCAGTTAATGAACGAATCTAAGATTTAGACATTAAGTGCAAGCTACGACTCCAGTATGTCAAAATTCAATACGTTTTTGACGTACGTAAATCACGTTTCTGAATGTCAACCTAATACTTAGTCTTCTGTGACTTCACGTAATCGCGGATTGATAATAAATCGTTATTAAAAATGCGTAATTGTATATTATTTGTGTGTACATATACAAAATTAACAATACTTACTTTTAATAATACGCATTGTATGAAAAATAACAGCAAGCGATTCATTTTTAATCTTTTTTGTTTAAATGAAATTATTTGTATCTTTTACTATATTTAATACCTAATGTTATCTATGGATATTATATTTTGTAATTTATGTTATCAATGTTACAATTCAAAGTTCAATGCAATTTCTATTGCTTATCAATTTATTATGTAAAAAGTGATGGATGTATTATATTTAATTTATTATATTTTTAAGTAAAGAAAGCTGTTACAGATAATAGTCAAATTACGTTGTGTCTATACCTCGTAAATAGACAACATCGAAGTTTATTGTTTTATTAAGCTACGTCATAATATGCTCATAGATAGTATAAAGTTTTATCAGCGTAAACAGTTTTTATCCGAAAAAATAAAATTAAATTGTAGTCTGTGTTCTGTGTGGACAGCCTCCTCCCTACAGAATACAAATCTTGTTTTAAATTATTAATAATAATATTCAGTGGCGCTACAACCTTTTTAGGTCTGGGCCTCAGATTTCTGTATCTGTTTCATGATCATTTGTTAATCTAATAGGCAAGTAGGTGATCAGCCTCCTGTGCCTGACGCACGCCGTCGACTTTTTGGGTCTAAGGCAAGCCGGTTTCCTCACGATGTTTACCTTCACCGTTCGAGCGAATGTTTAATATAAAGAAAGAAAGTAACATAGAAAGAAAGTCCATCGGTGCACAGCCGGGGATCGAACCTACGACCTCAGGGATGAGAGTCGCACGCTGAAGCCCCTAGGCCAACACTGCTCTAAATAATTAATTTGTTGAAATTTTTTGCTTCATTCTATGTCATAAAAGTGCCAGCTGACATCTTCCTGTGCGATGTAATCTTTCCGAAAAAAGTAGAAAGGCACCTTTTGAATTTATCAAATCAAACTTTCCCCTATTTTAATTGCAGCATTTAATCTTACGTCGTAATAAATTAAATTCATAAATTTCCCAAGAATACTGGGAAGTACTGTAATCAATATTTTGTTTAAATTATGTCACATTTTTAACAATAGCGCGTTATGTAAGCGAATGTATTTAAGTGTATAAGTAAATTTGAAAACAGTCAATCAATCAGTTTTAAGATTTTGGAACTTACGTCAATATTTAAAATGACTAAAATCATAATATTTTGTCTTTCTACTATTCTCATAAAGGTGCATTTAATAGTATTTTTAGAAATCTAACCCCAACATATTAATATTATGCTATTCTTGACTGTATGTGTGACTTCTTTGCGCTTCTAAAACCACTGATTCGTATTAGAAAAGAAAACAATATCTTTGTGAAAATTGATGTATCATTCACTATCATCACCAGATATTGTCTAACTTATGAAGTCACAGGGTATTAACTATATACTTTTAGTATTTTTTCATAATCGTTTGTTTTATTTCAGACAATTACTGGCCAAGTCATTCGCAACCCTATTGGCGTGGACGCAATGGCATATGCTAATCCAATGGCTAATACAGCATACAGTGCAGAATATGCCAATCCGTGGTATGACAACTATGGGCTAAACTTAGCTACACTGGCAGCTAATGGATGTGGCTTTTCAGTCCAATCTAGTTCACCAATCACACCAAATGGTGTTTCAATTCTGTCAGAAAACATGGTTATTGAGGGTCCATTGGCTGTTAACGGACATATGCCTTTCTTGGGGGCGATCGGCGTGGAAGGATCTTTGCCAGCGTCAGGAGCTGGTGTTGTATCTTACGGTGGTGGTAACGGTAATGTTGGCATAACGAATGAGGCTTTCCCAAGTTATAGTCTGGCGAACCAATATAACATGGCCGGCATGCAATATAATATGGCACCCGCCTTGACAGGTTTGACCCCAAATATGGCTGCGATGGCCATGAATAATGCCATGTATGGAATGGGCGGCTTATATTAGATGTAAATTATACTGTTTATATTCTATTTATAAATAAAATAACAAGTAACTAGTTTATTTTTTTAATTTGTGATTTTTAAAACAAAATGTGACAGTAAGATTTTTTTATAATGTTGCTCACTTAAAAAATAGGCGCAACACACAATATAGGCACTAGTTACATGCAGCATATACTATCTTGAAAACAATAAAAATCAAATTACGAAGGAACATAAAAATTACGACAATGCTTCAAATAGCTAGGGAGCTGCTGAGTAATATATCTATATAATTTGCTCATGTTTCGGACTTTTTTAATAGGGATAATTATAGGATAAGGAATATTAAGCACCACGTGTGCCACCATAGTCAAATGACACCACCTTAGAAATGTAAAAAATTGGTATCATACTACATATATCATTTGTGTCTGCCTTTAAGGCTGATGTTTATAAACCTTGTCAGAATGAAAAAAAATCAAAAAGGCAAACACATCGACTCTGGCTTTTCAAGTTATGATTTTTTTAAGATTTTTTATAATTTAAAAATATATATTATATATGATATTATAAATGTACGCTTGGAAGACCTGCCTTGCGATTCTGTAACGCACTTTTCGAACTCTCACAGCGGTTTTCGCAGTAAAATGACTGCTTCACGACTGATTTGAGCGCGACCGCCACTGCGAAAACCTGTGAGAGTTCGAAAAGTTAGTTACAGAACCGCAAGGCTGCAGTGTTCGTTTAAAAATTGTCTGCCAGCATTGTAGCGCTGCGTTTTCTATTAAAAGCATTTCAAAAGTGTCGACAAAAAGAAGTGTGCTATATTATTTGCTCGTGTCTGCCTCAGAGGTTAATGGTCAATACCATTTAGACGACGAAGGAAATCTATAAGGCAGATGCCTCTGCATTATCACAGGAGGTAGATGTAAAAAAATTCGTTCTACTAAATCGTTTGCTCGTAGCTGTAATTTGGTCCATCCAGTTAATACGAGCAAATCATATACATAAATGCTCGCCAGCTCCCTAGCTATAAATACTTGTCATTATTTTTTTAGAAACCTGCGTAGCTGTTTAATCGATTAAAATTATATATTTGTACATTTGATATATATTTCTGTGTTGGGAAATATTACGTGTTTTTATTCTGATTTTGTTACAACAAGATCGCGTAGCTGCATATCTCAGCTAGTACAATTTATCTAAATGTAATGAAATGAAAAACGCATATGTACCGTAAATTTTTTTTGACAACCTAGGCTAATTAGTGCTTGGATAAATTTCAGCTAGATGGTATAAATACGGTGTTTCGCTCGGTCTGCTTAATGTTTTAGTTTTTTTATTAATTGTAATTTGTACTCTTAGTTTATTTAAAATGTTTAAGCAATAACATAAATTAAAAAAATCAAAATAGCATATACCTGATAATAAACCATATATTATAAAGCCTCATTTACATATACTTCGCATCGAACGAAAATCATTGCCCCAAACATATTTATTAGCAAGACCTTTTTCAGTTATTGTCTGGTACAGAGACAAATGTTATATGTATAAAAACCAACACGTATTTTTTAGCTAAGAGCATTTCATCTGTTTATACTGTATCATCGTAATAAGTATTACCAATCACACATGCTTAAACTGCCTTTCTGGACATTGATTTCTGATATGACACGATTAAATGAGTCATTCGAAAAAATGCTGATATTTTTTCTAAATGTTATACAGATTACGTGGTTGATTTAAAATGAGTAAACTTTAAATTTCAATGGATAAGATTATTTAACTTTCATGATCTAAATTCTAAAATATGATAAATAATTAGAGAAGTAAGCGTTTAACAGTTTTAGTCAGAAGTCGTAATTAATTGATCTTCTAATTTGCCTAAGATAAAATATAAATTTTATAGAGAAAACCTTAGGAGAAAACATAATTCACGGCATTGAACAATGACAGGCATACCCTGAATCGCGTTAACAAAGTTATTTCGGCCCCTAAGGATATATCCTTAGTTTTATATACAAAACCTTAGCCAATAGGGCTTCGGACCAGTCAGTGCTTAGACTGGTTGAGAACCTCCACATTCATCGTATCTCAGACGTTTTGGTTTTATTCGCGCTCTGAAATATGGGTAATATGCAAAACGTTTTTCGTTTATGTGACCTGTAATGGTTAAGATGTTATTGTTGACCAAAGATCCTAAAAAATCTTTTTAAAACAGATACCATAGACCATGTTTGAACATTCTTTAAGGTAATATGAGATTCCTAATATGTTTAATTAAAAAAATCGTTTAGTACAAATATGTAACATTTTAACTAGCCCTTGCCCAAAAAATTGCTAACAATGCAACAAATGGATAATTCAGTCATATTGTATTTTAAAATAATATTTTAAAAATTACGGCGCCATCTCTGTATAATTTGCTATTACAAGTCCATCACAACCAATCTGACAACTGAACTAATTTCAGGATGATTTTTTGTCAATATTGTAAATAACACAAGGGCTTAATTAAAAAAATTTATTCACCTATTAAACAACCTTAACTAGTATACTGCACCCATTGGGGCATTAAAACCTGCTGGATAACCGTTGTAACCCAGCCCGTTCCCATACGCATTAGCGTATGCACTAGCTTTAGCATACGCTTTTGGATTAGCATATGCGTTTGGATTGGCATACGCGTTTGGATTAGCCATCGCTGCGGGTTCATTGACACCTTCACTAACGATTCCAACGTTTCCATTTCCACACCCATAAGCCACCGCACCTTGTCCTGTGGCCGGTAAAGGACCTTCCAATGCCACAACGCCCAAAAATGGTAATTGCCCAGAAACCGCTAACGGTCCTTCGATAGCTATATTGTCTGATTGAACAGTTATACCAGTTGGCGCAATAGGAGAAGAGCTCATCACTCGTAGACCTCCACCGTTAGATGCAGCTAAATCAGCTAATGTCAAACCATATGTAAGTCCTGGAATATTGTGACCGATTGGAATTTCTTCAACCATGGGATTGGCATAATTTCCATAACATGATGGATAGGCATTTGGAGCATAGGCATTAGGGTTGTAGACGTTGGCAGGGTATGCATTTGCATATGCCATGTTGTTACCAGCTACAGCGGCAGCTTCAGCTGCATTCGCAGTATTTGCTACGGCATTAGCTGCAAGATTCCCAAGACCAGCGGGGCTATGTACCCCTATGCTTTGGCCGGTGATACTCTAAAAACAGAAAAAATAATACTTTTTCTCAATATGATTTTTTTATTCAACATAAAGTTAACTACAGTAAAGATATAGGATTATATGAGGAATATTAATTTATTTAATAAATAGCTACTTATATACCTGAATTAACATCACCGAGACGAAAATAGCAATTGCCTTGAAAAACATGTTTACGCCAACTCAAAAATAACAATGATTTTAAATTATAGTTCCCCTATTTATATACACATCAAAATTGTATAATTTATCAATTTTAACAATACTTAATCATTTTTGCATAATATATTTCATAAGAAATCAAACTTAACAATAATATCGAAATCGTTTCAACGAACTTTTAGTTTATTCGGTCAGTAATTACAATATTTTTATATAGATAACATACCTTCTTTGCTTTGAATGTAATATTAAATATTACACTAGATTCTGCCTCTTGTTTCACTTGTACATAATCACCTTGTGATTTACATCTTAATAATTCATAGCTTAAGGCTTCAATCAATTTACTCAAGCACGAACTAGTTTCGAGATAACTTGGACAGGAAGTACAATAGTTTTTTTTGTCGTTTTATATAAAGAATATATTAGGAAAATGTAGTCCGGCTCTTTAAGCTAAAACCATGCATTCATAACATACAATAATATATTCAATATATAATAAAAATTGAACCAAAAAATGGATGTTGAAAATTATAAAACAGTTGCGAGAAAAGGGTGATACCGTGCCGCTTTTTTAACGACTTGGCGGAGGTAATCCATTCATTCGGGCGTATCAATTGTAAATTTTTGACAATCTGTTCTAACAATCAGAAGAAGCAATCATTACTTAGAAAATTACGAGAACACGCAAACCCAACGAAAATCTCACAACGAAACGTATATTTTTGATCGTATATTTTGTAAATCTCCTGATTTATAAGTACGTACAATGTAATAATAGGTGTATGTAGTATTTAACACGTTCGTTGCATTACGAGACTATCAGATCTTTGAGGACTTTTGTATTGTGCGTTGAACATAATCGTGTTTTTTCACTCTTGCGGGAGGATGTAACTTGTAAAGTTCTTTAAGGATGAGCAGGACAAATATATATATTTGCTTCGTACTTAAAGCTGAATTCATCGACTTTAAAAAATAAATTAGAGATGGATTAGGTCCCTAACGCACAGTACTGTAATTGTTTTAATTCCTTGCGTTAGGAGATATGTCGGTACTCGTGAAATCGTACGCCTCGTAGACGCAAGAGATGGAGGATGGGATTTTTAGTGTTGTCCTAGAATCACATTGGGAAGTCGCGGGCACGTTTTGGAAATAACACTCGCGTATATATCAGCGTGTTGATTATTTTTGATAAACAATGAGTGATTAAGTTTAAAAGAAAAAAAGTGTAAAAAATCTATTTTATTGGTGAGGTTTCTAACAAAAAATCAACGCCGGATTATACTGTGCATCGTAGTAAAATATTTGTTTTGGAAAAATGTTCAAATTTGCCCCCATTGACTAATAATGACAGTGATTCTGATTATGAAATATTTAACGATAAACCTTTTTCGTTGGAGCACACGCAGTTAAACAGATGACGCTTCTAAAAAAACTAAACGAATTGTTAAATTGGCGTAATGTGAAGAATCAATGTGTTACCATGTTTTAATGAAAAACACTTTGCATAATTAATAAAACTTTTAGAATCGATAACTGAGATATTATTTTATTCCCATCACTACTTACTACACATATTGAACTATCTTCGGGTGCGGTAGAGATACAATCGATATTAATTTTTTTGTGTATTTGTAGTTTATTCAAATGTCGTACTGGTGCGAACCTAGCAAAATATAAAGCAATTAGCTATCTTTCACCCACAAAAAATTCAAAATATATGTCATTGTTTTTTGGAAGATATAAATTATTTTCAAAAGTGATTTTTAGGAGACTGATTAGGTCTCAAACGACCAGAGGAAGGCTTGTTAGAATCTTTTATCTCAAGACCAGTGAAAGTTCTTTAAAAATATGGGGTATAGACAAATAAGTTTATGTAGCTACTTTTCCAAAAATAGCTCAATAAACGAAGTGTATACTATTATAATAGAACATTAAAACTGTATTGAAAAATATATTTCACACCATTGATTAGCTAATAAGGGATTTCCAGAAACAAATAAAAATCCACGAATTGACTTTTTTATGTAATAGCATACGGGCTACGGCATACGGGCAGGATGCTCATCTAATAAGTGATACTGTCGCCCATGGGCATTCATATAGCCAGAAGGCTTACATGTGCCTTTAAAACCGGACTTCTATGAATTATTTTATTGCCAGGTGTGAAATTTATCACGTAGGTTAGATACCCTTTATTATATTGTAGACATTTAGCAATTTTGCCGGCAAAATTATTTTTGTTATTGTATAAGTCCAATATTGCAGCAAGAGCAGTGTTGGCCTAGTGGCTTCAGCGTGCGACTCTCATACCTGAGGTCGTAGGTTCGATCCCCGGCTGTGCACCAATGGACTTTCTTTCTATGTGCGCATTTAACATTTGCGTTGAAGGAAAACATCGTGAGGAAACCGACATGTCTTCGACTTAAAAAGCCGACGGCGTGTGTCAGGCACTGGAGGCTGATCACCTACTTGCCTGTTAGATTTAAAAATGAAACAGATTCAGAAATCTGAAGCCAAGACCTAATGAGGTTGTAGCGCCACAATTTTTTTTTATAAGTCAAACATTAGTAAAGTTGCAACATTGCAACATTAAAGAGCAACAATTGAATTTATCTGTGAGAACGATCTAAGTTCTAAGGATATTTTGGTTATCATTTTTTTAAAAGTAGTTCAAAAAGTAAGGTCAAAGCTATGTGAGTTATCTGTATAACTTATACCGTATGCTCTGTAGTTTGGAATGAGTAGTGTTTGCGTAAAGAACACGATATAGGACAAGCCATATATCGACAGATTAAGATACTATGAAAGATTCAGCAACTAATTGAGATTCAGAAATATTGGATAACAGACATTTTATTTACCGTCTAAATTCAGAGAACTAATAAAAACGATTCGAATATCTCATTTTTTATAACACCTGAGATTGAAAACATTGTTTTTCCGTCTCAGAGTGTTGATGACGCTCTTCTTAAAGCCAAAACCAGCATAGGAATACTGGGCGTTGACATTTCGAATGGCGTTCAGTTTTTCCATCATTTGGAAGGGCCCAAATTGGCCTCGATGAAGCTTCGTGTGCTGAGCAAGGCGAACCGTACTTCAATCCGGGCGACTGCTTGTACTCTATACAGCGCGTAAATTCAGGCCCACATGGAGTTCCCCATTACCAGCTCCTTCTACATGACCGTATTCAACGTAGAGCGATTCGAATAGTCTACGATCAGTCATTTTCCGATATCCCTAGGCATTGCGTAATTTTCAGAGAAATTGTTCGGACCTGCAACTGTTTCACCGTCAGATGTTGAGGCAGAATACGAAATTCTACCCGTTTCAGCTCGACATCCGTCTTTCCACAACTGAGCGTTTTTAAAGGTTTTTTAAGTCAATTCAACTTAAGGTCCATTAGGAAAAGAGGGTAGCAATTCTATGTGAGTGCCTATGGGCGGCGGGGCGGTATCACTTAACATCAGGTGAGCCCGTTTGCCCCATGTCATATAATAATTGAAATATAAGTAAGTAAATAGTAAATTTTAATTGCATAAATGTATTAAAAATATAACATGACCTACGGGCACTGATAATAGTTGAATGAAGATTAAGACTACCTATACTCACTATTACTTAAAAGCTTATATGTAGAAACATATCAAACACCACTTACAATATTCAAAATATAATTTTTTTTTTATCTTTTTATTTTTATATTAAAATTTATCATTCGTTGTATTTTTACTTGTTTTTAATGCCAGAAGAAGGGTAGTGAATAAAAAATAATAAATATTTCGGAAATGTACAATTCGTTTATTTTGTAATCTTAAGGTCTACGTCTTATATTCTTCCACATCCACAGCCACGGTTGTTTCCATATGACGCTGGGCCGGCCAGACCTGCAGCATATGGGGTGGGAAGACCGCGACCCGCCATAGCTGGAGCGGCAAGAGCAGAAGCGGGCATGCCCTGGGCGTACCCATAAGCTCCGTACGCATTGAGATCCTCGTTTAAGATTGCAACGTTTCCATTACCGCATCCATACGCAACGCCTCCTGAACCAGCAGTAGGCAGTGTTCCTTCTAAAGCAACAGCCCCAAGGAATGGAATCTCACCACTGACGAGGAGTGGTCCTTCAATAGCGTTTTCAGAGATGAGAGACACGCCGTTGGGTGCGATTGGTGACGAGCTTGTTACAGCAAGACCTCCACCGTTGGAGGCTGCAACTGTTGCTGGGACGAGACCTCCGCTCATGCCGTAGCCAAATCTGGATTCCATGTCTACTTCGTATTCAGCAGCGCGCATTCTTCCAGCGGAATTCCAAGGTCCAGACCATTCGGCGTTGCATGGGGATGCCCATTCAGCCCCCCGAAGGGCGACCGGCTCCATGGCGTAAGGGGCGGAAGCCCATCCATATCCTTCAGCTAAACCATTGTAAGCGCCAATGCATTGGCTGCTTATAGCCTGCAAAATTGATAATTATAATTACTTTTTGTTCTGTACTAAACTCGAAGCGTTTCGTAATCTTTTATAATAAAAGTTAAATATGTAGTCTGTGTTACTAAAAATTAATGCTATGAAATGAAACTATTTCTGTGTCGTTAGAATAATATAATTATGAGTGATATATCTTCAGAAATTCCGCCATGTGTGGCTTATCGCTTTCTATCTTACCTGAATAAGTAGGGCTTGAGCGCAGAAAAGGATAGTTTTGAAAGACATGATTGTTTGTTCGAATGAATGAAAAATACAAAATACTCCTTTTATATGTGTCATTTACACAACGCAATTTTATGTCGTAATTAAGTTAAATGTATGAAAAATAACAATTAAAAATTTAATTATGAAATGTTTTCGATAAAGTTTATTAGGACATTGCCCTATAAAAAGTGTTACATTTTCTTTTGGAAATTATTCTGTGGATTCAGTGAAAACAAACATGTCTACTTTCAGCATTGTCTTCCTCTGCCTCCAAGCTTGCTTGGTCCAGGTAAAAACACAGAAAATAATAAGTTTAATTAATAATTTCACAAACTTGTTTATTAGTTTTTGATTTTGTCTATGAACTCTTAATTAATAATTAAATCTCTTATATTAAAAAAACATCATCTAACTTATTATTAATTATAGATCTATGTCTAATATCGATACGGTTGGTGGGTGTAAATTAAACGACCCCTTTTTTCAATTCCATTTTTTTAAGTATATACTTAATAACGAAAGATTTAAAGTAAATATTTGTATTTATTTACAGACCGCGTTCGGTTGGATTGCTGAGGCACCATGTGCAGCAGGTAACCCCATGCCATCATGGGGGCTTGCCGGTCCCGCCGCAATTGGACTTGCCCCTGGTATGGCTCCCGCTCAATTTGCTCCCGGTGCATTCGCCCCTGCATCTGCCCCATTTGCCCCAGTCGGATACGAAGCTGGTATCGGTGCGTACGGTGGTGAAGGTATTGGTGACGTAGCCGTAGCCGGAGAGATGCCAGTAGCTGGTACCACTATGGTAGCGGGACAGGTGCCCATACTCGGTGCTGTACGCTTCGCGGGTGACCTTCCAGCTGGTGGTGTAGTCTCAATCGCAGGAAGCTGCGGATGTGGACGATCTCCATACATGTACTAAGCTGCTATATCTAAAGGAAGATACGACAGTTTTGAATAAATAAAAACATATTATTAATTTGTTTGTATCATTTTCATCTGTGCACACTTCGTAGTATTAGTTTAATAATACATTGTATTAAAAAGGTAAAACACTCGACACATAAATTAATATTAAGAAATTTCAAAAAAGCGTGCCCCCATGCTGTATGCTCTGTCTAAACTTTTAAAAGCAATGCTACAGTAATTTACAAAAGTAATTGGCGAATTTCATACCAAGTATCTCAACTATAAATTCTTGATGCTAAAAAGCTGGCATGTGTGATTTAAAATATGACACAACAACAAAATATTTAGTGGAGAAATGTATGGAGATGGTTGGATTGCATCAGGGGAATCAGTCATCAAATCACAACACGTTCAAGCCTATTAATTAGCAATGTTAACTTCTGGTTAACTCTCGTCTTTGTTCTGGTTTTGATTTGTTGTTGGATGTTACGTCTTTTTATATGTAAAGAAAGGAGAACCTAGGGAAAGGCTGTAAAAGGCAGCTGCCTCAGCACATGGACATGGGCTTTAAATAGAGGAGTAAGTATACCCTGTTTTAAAGCTCAGAGCTTTTAACTCCCAGGAAAGACCTCGAAGTTGGTTCTTAAGCCACTTCTTAAGAGATAATGCCTAGACAAGCTGATTGTCAAAGACTTCCCGCCCTCCAGATGGTTCTTATGAAACCTGGAATCATTTCGGCTTGGGGATCAGCCCAAACAATTCTTCAAAACACCCTCCATAGTACTCTTTGTAATAATAATGATACCATTCTTGATTAGATTTTCTATCGAAATAGATAACACGATAACCAAAACAAATCTTAAATTAAAATCGAGCAGTAATTACCCATAACCGACGAGCATGCACGGTAAATGACAAAAATGTGGATGAAGCGAGAGAGAGGTATGTAGTAAGTGGAGATACGCGGTCTCTTTCCCACCCCTTTGGGAAATATGTTTTGAATTTTCTGTTAAATACATAGTATCATAAAAATCAGGACTCCAGTATGTCATATACGATTTTGCCAAAGGTCATACTTAGAGCTAAGTCTCGACTTTATTTGAGAGTAGCTTCAGCTGTAGTTTTTTTCCGAAGATATTACGATTACTATTGAAAATAATAGTGTAGATTTAAACCTATTTGATCTATTTTGAACCATAAATATGTTTTCAAGAGTAGTTACGGAATGTGTTACTGCGAAGTCGATTGATTGCGATTCTGTAACTCACTTTTCGAACTCACACAGCGGTTTTCGCAGCGGCGATCGCGCTCAAATCAGTCGGGAAGCAGTCATTTTACGATTTGGCGTTCTGATAAACAATAAACTACAAGCTCCCTCCGCTTGTCAAGACGTAATGTGAAATTTCTTAACAGAATACCATGAGATTCCAAAAATGGAAAGGAGCGTAGTTAATGCAAGGAACTAACGCACTCATCGCACGGCAGAACTGAAATCTATTATATTATTAGACCTTATTTGGCTGTTAGGAAAACAAGCTACAATATCTTAAATCTATTTCACTTAGGGCATTATTAATTATTTTGCGAATGAGGTGAGGTTATGAGTCGTTAAATAGTCGGCATATAATAGTTTCTATATCTGCTAATAGTAGTTTGAAACTGCGTATTTTAATTATGAAAGATCTTTATTATACACAACACAGGATATTTTGGTAGGGGGGGGGCCCCCCCCAACGTCTCTTCCTTTTGACACGTAAACTGTATTTTACTTTTTGATTTCTACATAACACAAATTATTTATATTTAAACTATTTTTTGCACAATAAGAATATTTTTTGTATCAGTATAGGACAGGTTGACAAGATATTGTTTGAGATTTTTAGAAAATGTATGTAATATGAGTTTTGAAATGTTAGTGATACTTTTGTTTTTAAGGAAGTGGTTAAGGATGAAAGGGTTTCGGAAAGTGCGTTTTTTGGGTTGCTTATTTATAGGTTTCTTGTGGTGTGGCGGGTGTTTGTTTTCAAAAAAGTCTGCATATTGCTATTAAGCATAATTATCTCACAGTTAAAAGTTTTGTTTCGTTGTACAATTTTGAAGTTGAGATGCACACCACAAATGGTTTATTTTAGAAATAAATCTGTCCACCTCTATTGGCCTCCGCAAGTATCTTTTATCTCAATCTACCTCGTGCTTTTTGGTTCCTATTTAGACATAGACATAACATTTATTACTAACGAAACACAACACAGAAACACACAAAACAATAATAAGAAAAAAAACTAACATAACTACATAAATTTATAAATTTATATACTAAATTTTTTTTAAAGAATAATCTACCTTTTAAGCATGTAATGTGTGTGTTCTTGTAACTCGCCCTGGCTCAGAATTATGCTGAGGAGCAGACGTGTATGTGAGGAAGACCACAAGCCTTAGTTTAATTAGTTTCGAACGAACTCAATCCCACCAGCGCCGTTTAGTTAAAAGGCTAGACTGTTAAGTGAACGGCTGATTAAGTAAGTTGGCTGTGACATATACGTATACCCGCGGTTTGACATTCTTAGCGCGTTTCAAGGTATGGCGTCCTCGAAGTGATTGTAGGTGTCGTCGCTACATACTGAATAGCACCTAACAATAGAACATAGTTTTGTTATTCATGAAATAGTGGGAGGTTTTCCAAAAAGGATTATATTATTATGTTGCCATATGATGACTAATCGGGAAGGATTTCACCTTTCAAACCAATTTACAAGTAATACGTTTTGTGTCAGCAAGTATGTAGTGTTAAAACGTGACAGTTGTGTAAATAATAAAACTGATTAGCAAACATATTGTTCAACGGATAATAATTAACATTTTAATAATACTTAACATTAAAATTTATTTGAATTATTTAAAATTGTGTAATTCCACTAGCACCGGTATCTTAATTAAAATAATTAAAGCAATTTTGGATGCAAAAAATAAATGATATATTTATTCAATTAAAACAGTTGATACAAAAACCGTAGTTATAAGTTTCAATACAGGCAACCGCAAGGTCTTGCAGGTGGTAATGCTGGAACAGACCCGTGTCCACAACCTGGTCTGACTGAGGGAATTTCCAAGCATGGTCTGCCAGGATGGTTTAGACCTCTGACAGATGGAATTTCATACGGTCTCACGGACGTTTCGTATGCAGATTCGAACCCAGAAGTTTCACTTAAAATTCCAACATTACCATTACCACAACCATACGAAACAGCACCATATCCATGAGTAGGTATGGATCCTTCGAACGCAACAGCACTTAGGAAAGGCAACTGCCCATACACCGAAACCGGTCCTTCGATGACATTCTCCGATGTTATAGATAGAACTCCAGGTGCAATTGGCGAAGAACTCCTCGTGGTCAGATCACAGCCTGAGGCAGATAAAGAAGTTATATCTAGTGAGTGGTATTGGTCGTATGGCAAGTTTACATGTGAAATTCCAGAACAGCCTCCAGGTGAAGTTGGACTAACTATGCCGGCCCAATTAGGGATTTTGTCGCTGCATATGCACTGGCTGGTTATAACCTAGAACAAAAAATATAGGCTTTTAAAATGTATTATTCTATGCTATTATGATATATTTTTATGAGATAAATAAATCAGTGGCGCTACAACGTTTTTCGTTCTGGGCCTTAGATTTCTGTGTCTGTTTCATGATCATTTGTCAATCTAATAGGCAAGTAGGTGATCAGCCTCCTGTGCCTGTCACACGCCGACGACTTGTTGGGTCTAAGGCAAGCCGGTGTTTTCGTTCACCGTTCGAGCGAATGTTAAATGCGCACATAGAAAGAAAGTCCATTGGTGAATGAACCTACGACCTCAGGGATGAGAGTCACACGCTGAAGCCACTAGGCCAACTTTATGACAATACAAATCTATGAAAATCTAAGATATTTTTTTAAGTAAAACCTTATGCACTATATTTAATTTTATCGAAACCAAAGCAACAGCTGAAGCGTACAGTATAACATGAAAATACTTTTTATATTTTGATTACCTGGATAAGAAGAGCTTGAAATAAAACAAGTAATTTAAACATGATGTCTAGAACTTAGTTATAGTTTTCTAAAACTAGTTTCCCTATTTATACCTAACATTTCGCAAATATTAGTAATAAAGGGACGTGATACATTGCAAATTTCACACGACATTTTATTGTAACCATAATAGTTTTATCAATTTTGCGTGGCGCTTCCAATAGGTTGATAATTAGCCAAACACCATTTTAAATCTTGGGTAAAAGTTTTTCCGTATTAAACATAAATAAGCATGTGTTTTGTTATAAATTCGAGCTGATTACTATGGGCCTTAACCACATAACAACAGACATGGTCGGATATCAATTACATACAAATTTCACAACTCCTGTCTGTCTGCCTGTTGAACAAAATTCTGCCAAAGACCCATGAAGGTTAACAAAAGACAATCAAAAATGCTTTTAAATATTTGTGTATTTCAAACAAGGAAAAACGAACTAAAAGCTTGAGAATAAATGCAAATTTAAGATAAGGATTCAAATTCCAGACAGCAGAAACTATTTAACAGATTTTAACTTAGGTACACCAGTTTTTTAAATAATTAAAAAAACTGATTGTTATGTTTTAAACATACACATGTATATTTTAATGTTATTTGTACGGGTTTATTTACTTTATTTGGTTTACATTGATTATCAAATATGAGTGTAAACTTGGTAAAATGGAACGACAAAGAGCATTTTATTTCACACACAGCGTCTTGCGACAGCGTTTGGTTATTGGGATGCAGATAGGAGATCGATCTGAGATTGTGGATTGATTATTAGTTTCGGGCGTAAGAGATCAGCCTTCTTTATCTTTCAATCCGGAAAAAAGATTGTTTCGTTGACTAACTAACTTCGCACGCACAATGCATACTAAGCCACCAAAACGGTATGACACCATAAATTCGAGTTAAGTGAAATAAGGATAGTTCTATAGGTCAATTATATAATATATATCCTAGAGAGAATGTTTTTTACTTCAGCGTGCGACTTACATTCCTGAGCTCGTAGGCTCGACTCCCGGCTGTGCACCAATGAAGTTTATTTCTAAATGCGCATTTAACATTCGCTCAAACGGAAAGGAAAACATCGTGAAACAACCACCCTGATCACCTATTTGCCTAATTGACAAATGATCATGAAAGAGATATAGAAATCTGAGGCCACCGCCTAAAAACTTGTAGCGCCACTGTTTTATTTATTATTATTAAATTGAAATCTTCAGGGATTTATATGGGACAAGCATTAGATTCCGAATTTCCACTATTAAAATTAAAATATAAAATTTTCATAACGTGCTATTACAAAATTGGCGATAAACTTAAATAGAAATTGCAATAAATACGCGAACTTAAATTCCAATAGTCAGTGTGCAAATTACTTGTAGAATGAATTACTTTACAATATTTCTTGTACTGCAGACTTATTTTATACAGGTAGGTTCTTATATCCATACAAAGAGGAGAGAATACCAATTTTCAAAGTAGTACAATAGTTGTAAATTTATTTAAATATTTACAGCTAAACCGGTGTAGTTAGACTATGAATTAATGGGGTTTTTTTCGTAACTTCGTAAAAGTTTATCAAATTACTAATCAAATGAACAATTGTATGATTCAAATGTAATTATGAGATTTTTGTATTTATCAGTGCAATTAAAAACGTATTTAAAATTTTTTTTACAGAATGCACTCGCCCATTGCATCAGACTTCCACCAGCACCTTCAAACATTCCAGAATGCGCTATAAATAAACCAGTAGTTCAAGAAGATGTAAATAGTAGCGGAATTGGGACTGTTTCCGTATTTGGTGATTTGCCTTTATCTGGGGCAACCCAGGTGGTAGGACAAGTACCTGTTTTGGGCGTGGCCAGGTTCTCTGGGAGCGTTCCAGCTAGAGGTTTCGTAACCATTTCTGGAGGATGTGGATGTGGGTGCCAATATACTAAATCTGATTAGTACTTCTAATTACATTTGGATTGCTAAACACCAAATTATATTTTTAAAGCTTACACATTTATAATATATTTAAACCATGTTTTATTTATATTGTCGATAATAAGTTGTTAAAAAGTATAAAAATTTAATAATGCATTTAGTTCTTTTAATGATGACATATATAGGTACATGTTTAAATTTATACTAAGCATGTCTATAAAGCTAAGCTTGCATATTTTTTATAAGAACATGATAACTAACTGTATTGTCACTTACACCCGCGTTAGTTAAAGTACCAGTTCAAAACTATGATAAGCTAAGATATTGAAATCAAATGATATCAAGAGTAATTTTGTAAAAATTAAAAAAAAATTTTTTTATATAATAATAAATCAAAGAAAAACGATTATTATAAAAACTTTATAAATTTTAGGACAAAATTGATAATCATAGAAATGGTTACGGATGAGTTCATGTTGAAGGTAGACATTTCAAGATTTGGAACCAATTTCGTCATTATTTTTGCATAATTTAAAGAAGGAAAATGTTTTCCCCATTTGCGAGATTTTTCATTGATGTTCCGCTTCTAATGTTAGTTGAGTGATTTTATATAGATAATATGTTATAAGTGAGCTTTAAAATGCAAAAATATTTGTATTTAATGAAAAACCAATAGTTTTAATATTAGCGCGTTTAAACAAGCACTCTTCAAACTTTATAAGTATACATTAACTAAGCATAACCTATGCTTATAACTTAGTACCTCACTCGTATAACTATAATAATAAAAGGCTTAATTGTTTTGGACTTCATCAATAAATTTTATTTGACCAACCTTTTATAATATATTTAAGTATCAAATATATTTTTAGAGTATGTTTTTGTCATTCAATTGACTTACAATGGAAGCCTACCAGATGTTTATACGGAGTTAAGGTTAAGGAATTGTTATTAAAACAAAATATCTTGCATTATACATTTATTATATCATTCCTCTTCAAGGATATCAAATAACTTAGTAACGGGCACCGCAGCCAAGTCCACGTCCGAAACCATAGGCCATTGGTTCGTAACCATAGGCCATTGGTTCGTAACCATATCCTGAGGCTTCCTCATTCAGGATAGCAACATTGCCGTTACCAGCGCCAAAGTTAACTGCACCAGAACCAGCTGTGGGCAAAGCACCTTCCAAAGCAACTGTTCCCAAGAAGGGTAATTGACCGGAAACAGCTAAAGCACCTTCGATAGCGTTCTCTGAGAAGACAGACACACCGTTGGGGGGGATCGGGGAGGAACTGGCAACTGGGAGGGGGCCCCCGTGGGAGGCAGAAGCGGTGGCTGCGTAACTTAAAGGAATTTCTCCGTAGGAAGCAGCAAAGGGACCAGCAAGAGGGGATGCAAATCGACTACCTAGGGGAGAGGCCATTGGTGAAGCAAGAGGACCAGCGAATGGTGCAGCGGCGTATCTTTCAGTGGCATAGGCATCAGCGGCAAAACGGTCAGCAGCGACACGGTCAGCAGCGTATCTTTCAGTAGCGTAAGCGTCGGCGGCTAAGCGTTCAGCTCCATAGCGGTCGGAAGCGATGCGGTTAGCCGCATATCTCTCAGTTGCGTAAGCGTCGGCGGCGAATGGTGCGTTCAACGCAGCATTGTATGCGCTGCCAGCACAGTACGCTGAGATGCTCTGAAAGTTGTTAAAATAATTTACTCAGTGATATAATGTTTCAGTTTAACTATACAATTTTGGATTAACAAAAATTATGTTGTACATGAAAACGTGACCTTATTCTTCCAAATATTATTTGATGTAATCAATATTACATATTAAACGAAATCATGTATATATCAGTTAGTAACGGAAGATATAAATATGATTTAGGACATATGGATCGTTTAGCTTTATGTTCGCTTTCGATTTATTGATACTTTGCAGAAATTTCAATAGAAGTTTAAAATCAATTAAGTCATTTTTAGACTAAAATATAATACTATTTTAATATTGACATCAACCATGTTATGGAAAACCAACACGTATACAATATATTAATTTTCAAGGACCTTACGTCTTTAACGTTTTAAAACGAAATAAAATTGGAAAAGTGGATTTCCAGAATATTGGTGATTAAGTTATAATTACCTGGATGAGCAAAACTTGGGCAAAAACACAAAGAAGGATTTTCGATGCCATCTCAATGAATTCTAGTTAGCAAATAAAACTGGAATAATATTACCAAAAGTGTACATACTTTTATATAGGCAGTTATCACTGGGGCATATTATTGCATATGAAAGTTTCGCAATTAATTGTTCCAATAAATTATATTAGGTTAGTAATTTCATTGTGTCATATAGGCTGAGTAGGTTGTTTATGTAAAATTGATAAGAATAAACACGTATTTTAGTAATTAGTTTAGTTCGCGTGAATTGTTTGATTTTATTTAAAACACGATTCACACGAAAGAAACTTAGTTGTAACATTTAAAATCCTCCTTAATTATCCTATAACTGTTAATGTAAATAGTTTGTAAAACATTAAAAATTAAAATACTTTTTGACGTACATTTAAAATCAATTTACCTGTTAGCTCATCCAATATACTCTTTAAACATTTTAGCAAAAATTTTACATAATTTTATGTCGAAGGGTAGATAACCTAATTAAGAAGAATATCAAACTTTAATTAATTCATAATTAAATTATCAAGCCTTATTTGAAATCGACACTCGAACCCTCACCCAGATAACGAAATCATGGCACCGTACGAAAGACACCGTCATCGGCTTGAACTCAATGAAAGATTCAGAAACCTTCTCCCATATATCCTATTTCTTTATAGAACGGGGGGCAAACGGGCAGGAGGCTCATCTGATGTTAAGTGATATATAAGATGACTCTAAGTTGGTTCGGAAATACTTTAGTGGGTAGTCAGCTCTACATAGTGGTGGTGCGCTAAAACTGCCCCAATTGACGCTCAGTTGTGGAACGACACACGTCGAGGTGATACGGGTGGAATTTCGTATTCTATTTCGCTGTCCGATCATGAAACTCAGCTGCAGTTCAAACTGAACAACTCGTCTGAACACCCTCAGTGGTGGTGCGCAAAAACTGCCCCAATTAAGGCTCAGTTGTGGAACGACACACGTCGAGGTGATACGGGTGGAATTTCGTATTCTATTTCGCTCGCTGTCCGATCATGAAACTCAGCTGCAGTTCAATCTGAACAACTCGTCTGATCACCCTCAGTGGTGGTGCGCAAAAACTGCCCCAATTAAGGCTCAGTTGTGAAACGACACACGTCGAGGTGATACGGGTGGAATTTCGTATTCTACCTCGATGTCCGATCATGAAACTCAGCTGCAGTTCAATCTGAACAACTCGTCTGAACACCCTCAGTGGTGGTGCGCAAAAACTGCCCCAATTAAGGCTCAGTTGTGGAACGACACACGTCGAGGTGATACGGGTGGAATTTCGTATTCTATTTCGCTGTCCGATCATGAAACTCAGCTGCAGTTCAATCTGAACAACTCGTCTGAACACCCTCAGTGGTGGTGCGCAAAAACTGCCCCAATTAAGGCTCAGTTGTGAAACGACACACGTCGAGGTGATACGGTTGGAATTTCGTATTCTACCTCAATGTCCGATCATGAAACTCAGCTGCAGTTCAATCTGAACAACTCGTCTGAACACCCTCAGTGGTGGTGCGCAAAAACTGCCCCAATTAAGGCTCAGTTGTGGAACGACACACGTCGAGGTGATACGGGTGGAATTTCGTATTCTACCTCGCTGTCCGATCATGAAACTCAGCTGCAGTTCAATCTGAACAACTCGTCTGAACACCCTCAGTGGTGGTGCGCAAAAACTGCCCCAATTAAGGCTCAGTTGTGGGAACGACACACGTCGAGGTGATACGGGTGGAATTTCGTATTCTATTTCGCTGTCCGATCATGAAACTCAGCTGCAGTTCAATCTGAACAACTCGTCTGAACACCCTCAGTGGTGGTGCGCAAAAACTGCCCCAATTAAGGCTCAGTTGTGGAACGACACACGTCGAGGTGATACGGGTGGAATTTCGTATTCTACCTCGATGTCCGATCATGAAACTAGCTGCGTTCAAGGTTTTGAAAAACTCGTTTGAAAACCCTCCGTGGTTGTTCGCAAAAACTGCCCCAATTAAGGCTGGAGTTGTGGAACGAACACGTCGGGGGGGGGAAGGGGGGGGAATTTTGTATTTTATTTCGCTGTCCGATCATGAAACTCAGCTGCAGTTCAATCTGAACAACTCGTCTGAACACCCTCAGTGTGGTGCGCAAAAACTGCCCCAATTAAGGCTCAGTTGTGAAACGACACACGACACACTGAAAAACTCCTCTGAACACCCTCCATAAATCCAATTCGTTCTTGACATACGAAAGTCACACTTGGAGCTAAGTCTTAGTTCTGAAAATCGCGCTAACATAATTATATATAAAAATAGCCTTTATTTCCAAAATGTAAAATATGAGTCTCATTGATTTTGAATTGAAAAAATTAACTTTTAACAATAGATTTAAACTGTAACATTTAGGACCAATCATATTATGCTTGTCATGCTTTGGTTTGTCCACCGTTGGACATAGGCCTCTTCCATCCGTAGGGACTGTAGAACATTAAACCTATCAGTAAAAATCGTCCCTACTCAGTTTAATTTTAATAAACTTCGAGATTTTCAGCGAACTCAATTACATGTTGTATATGTCCCATTGATGTCCATAGGCCTCTCTTAAGAATGGTCTGTAGTCCCCACGCTAGCCCAATGCGTATTGAAGACTTCACATTAATCCATAGAACATAATATCTCTTGGGCAGGGGCCCTCTTGTGTCGGGGGCTCGTGGCATTTTGCCAGCCCTGCCACCCTATTGTTACGCCACTGCCTGACGGCTCACCTGATGGTAAGTGATACCGCCACCCATGGACACTCTCAATGCCAGAGGACTCGAGAGTGCGTTGCCGGCCTTTTAATAATTGGTACGCGGCGAAAACTGTCTTAAAAAGCGTTCGGTAGTGGAACAACGGACGTCCAGGCGATACGGGTGGAATTTCGTATTCTGCCTCGACGTCCGATGATGAAACTCAGCTTCGGGTATTAATCTATAATCTACAATGACATAGATACAGACATGACAGATAGAGTATGGGAGGATTCCGAACAAGAAATTCTTTTAATAAACTGAAAAAAGTATTATGTTGTACATTTGCACCAAATTGTGGATTCGTCTTTTTCTCTGTTACGTCCAGTAGCACTATATGAATGTCAGGACTATAAAAGAAGACACAAGAAGGCGTCTTGAGATGTAGTGTTACCAACGAATGCTTTAGCTGGATCCAAAGAGACGATGACGAATGCAAGAGTCTTTCAACGAATCGGGACAATAGGACAATAAGTTTATGCAGACTGGTAAAATACGGAAAGTCGCATATTTCGGACACGTGCGATATAATAATGATGGGCAGAATTCATGGTAAGAGAAGGGCTGTTAGAAAAAGTCGTGGTGGCGCCGAGGAACTGTTTAGACAAGCACGAGATACCCGGCAATTGTGGAAGACACTTAAGTAGAAGACATTATAATGAGTAGGTTATTTTAATAAATTGTTTTTTTTTAAATCTTTCGTTAACATCACTCCAAGTTATGTTTCGATGATAAAATAGATAATTTCCGTCCTCAACATCAACAATTCATGGATGAAATGTCAGAGACATGTCAGTATAGGAAGTTATGCGAAAAGAATGTGTCAATACAATTTAGTGGAGCCCTAATTAACTGAAAAAGTATGGAAAAACTAAATAGTTCGGCCCCTACATGTGTTAATTATTGCAGGGCGCCGCATACCGAAACAATATCGCTTAGGATTTATATGCAAGAACGTTGTAAACGCTGTCTGCCTGATAAACTCCCGTTTTTATTGATTATTAAAATTAAACCCAGCAATTATCGTTTACCTGATCAATGAATAAATACGGTTTGCTGGAAATCAAAACAAAGACTCCGGCTTCATATTTCTTTCTTCAGATATCTTGAATTTTTAATTGAGGAGTTTCTATCATCAGTACTTCCTTATATGCCTCTAAGTTATTAAATGTGTGGTTGCTTCCAAAGATAAGTTAGTTATTAATAATAATGAAAAGTTTACTTAAACTGTCTTTGTTGATACATGCTGTCTTGAAACTTTTGTGAACTATAATTTTTTTGCCGTAAACTTTATTATTTTATTGCTATCAATTTTGACTGGATCGCTATCTCTCCTAATTATTTAATTTTCCTGATGATTTTGTATTATTATGCAACGTAGCTTCAACATAATGGGAACCAATAAATAAAAATAATCTTTTAATCTTTTGACTTATCACGAGTTACGAGCTACTCTATATAAACTATCCTTGAATCGCATATATTTTGGATCGCTTTGGAGTCGCATATATTTAATTTAAATATTGTATTATATATGATTTAACGTAGACAAAATTATGTGTATAAACAACCTTAATAATCAACATACCTTAGTTAAATATGCGGAAACGCGGCAGCGACAACTTGCAATTATTGATACCTTTCAAAAATTTATTGATATTCTAGGGTTCTCTTCAAAGTGTGAAATTAGAATAAAATATGATATTGAAGTAGGATTTTCGTTTAAGTGACAGTAACTTTTAGGCAGGTCCTAGGTTCATACTTTTAAGTAATTTTTTCACTTTAGACTCCTGCCTTGCGATTCTGTAACTCACTTTTCGAACTCTCACAGCGGTTTTCGCGCTCAAATCAGTCGTGAAGCAGTCATTTTACGATTTGGCATTCTGATAAACAATAAACTACAAGCTCCCTCCGCTTGTCAAGACGTAATGTGAAATTGCTTAACAGAATACCATGAGATCCCAATGACGTGAGTGACGAAGGGAGCGTTGTTAGTGTGAGGTGAACTCACGGATTAACAGAATCGCACGGCTTAATAATACGCGTAATAGTTTGATTATTTATTGCAATACTGATATTTCCTATTTAATAATCGAGCAATCATGTTCACGGCTTGACAAATTATGTTATTTTTTCATAATTTTAAATACGCAATCATAATTAAAAGTGTTTGAATCTAGCCTTAATATCGATTTAAATACATGACATTTTGATTTTACAGTGTACAAACATTTGGAGTTTTATTAAAAATATATAGCATCTATAATACAATATATTTTCCGTAAAAAATTCAAGGCACGAATCACGCTTAACCATTTCTAGAGAAACAAAAAATCGAGAAAAAACTTAGCGCCGGAGCGTTCTAATTATGACAAAATATGTCGGTTATTTGAAAGGGCAACCCCATTTTTTTCAACCCGTGATTTATAATAGTTAATGTAACTTGATTTAAACGTATTTTAATTAAGTCATATTAAATGACTTCTTGCAATATATTATTGCATAATAAATTTGTCTCGGAGCTTCCTTATTATATTTAATAATAGCTTAATGAGCTTTGTCATACGAAACATTTTCTATACGAAATATCTATTTCTCATTGTGTATCACTTGTGGTCTGGTTTGGAGTTTTTGTACCACGGATTCCAAGATTGCGATATCACTATTATGCGCTACGTATATTGAAATTATTTCATCCAAATTTCATATACTTTGTATCGCTATTAGAAGTTACACAGTACAGGGACTATGTTTTATTGCCGACGAAACTTTAATTGTTAAAATAAAAGTGATAAGATGCTTTTACAATATATATGTATATCTATTTATTTAATTCTTTGTCGCATACATTAAGATGATTAGGAGGGCAACATATTATATGATAAATAATATAATATTATTTTATATATATAATATGGTTGTTAAATACTAAAAGAATCTAGTTGGTTTCACAAGAAATAAGATTGAAAAGCTCAACTGAAAAATTTTGTTCATTTTATTTGGAAAATAATTTGTGGCCATGGGGCCTCCACTCCTTTGTTGCCCCGAAGCCTCCAGACCTCTAAATCCGGCCCTGAAAGTATTTGAGTAGTTTCATATAGTTCCAGAATTCAAACATTGATTTTATTATATTATTACTATTATTTATTTATTTATTACAGAAATACATATATTATCCTTACAGACTATGCCAATACGATAATGTCGAGAAACATTAAATAAAATATAATAAAGTAGGTACATATATACTATTAAACACATAATATACACAATATCTCTACTGTGAATTCACTCTGCGAACATATAAATATGTCGATAGTGTCGGAGACAGCATTCAGTAGGCGCAACGTCTTTGATAACGGGGATCTGTGCAACAGACTGGTTCTTGCCCTTGGATATCCAATCAGGCCGGATATATCCCAACTTTCTAATAAAGAAAAACTAATCAGTGATAGATAGATAGATGTATTTGCCCAATAATTGGGGTATATGGTTTAATAATAAGCTAAATATCATAGAAGTGACATACCAGAGTAGATATTAAGTATTGTTATATATTACTAAGTATATTCAAAAATACACAATTCTCCAACAGTCTGCCATTAACACAACCATAACCAATAAAGTGCTTGGAGATACAGTATTTCTATATAACACGACCACAGGACGCGACCAAAATGTAGACTACCAGAAATTATAATTTAAACAAAGTATATATATATCTAATAATAAGTGAATGCCTTTTCTCTTGACAGTCTCAAGACGGGACACTGATAATACACCGGCTGTACGCCGTGCAGGTTTTAATTAATCTAGTTAAAAGTATTTTTTTTGCATGCATGCATATGCATATGCATAGCGTACTATGCATCAGTCAAAATTTGATGCTTTCTTTAAAGTACGATATTTTTTTAAACAGGGGGAAAAGGGGCAGGAGGCTCACCTGATGCTAAGTGATA